CAATCCAAACTTCAGCGTCGGCTGACATTACCCTCAGACGAGCTCCCATCCGAACGGACCCCACGTCGTGGCCAAAGCGCCAGCCTTCTCAATCCTTCAGAAGGCTGAGGAATGCACTCCTCTGCCAGTTGGTTGGCTCTGATCTGATCCCTCTGATCCTGCAGTGTGGGGAGGGTGACATTCGTCATGGACGGATGACCTAGTTGGCAATAATGATGATGGTGATTATAACCATGATTATGGGTTGTGGTTGTGGATGTGGGCTGATAGATGGTTGGCCTGGAGCTCTAGTCGTTTCGCTGCCGATTACCTCGTTTTTCCCTTTCGGGATAATGCCATGGATGACTGGGGTGGGTTATGCCTAGTTTGTATATTCGTGTTATCTATTTGTCTTTCGCTTTGAGAGCCTGACGACTTGCTGCATCCTTCGAAGATGGTATCAGGCTGATTCGAATTCGAATCTGCATTATTGTAGATGAAGGACAGACGGTTGGTTCAGGGGTAGCACGGCAGATAGAGGAGGGCCTTGATTGTCTTCCGTATACTCCGTAGAACAGTTAAAGGGTCTTAGTGAGTATTTTGGCACGAGAGATACTGTGGTCTAGGCCAATTCATCAATTATCCACTTCGTTATTCATCAGGGTTTCAACCTCGAGGTCTTTCTATTCTTTTTCCATTTAATTTATTTTAATTTTTCTAGTTTTCGCCCCCAAATTATATCGGTCCTTTTGCCTCTTCATGGCAATTAATTAATTTCATCTTTCTTTGTACTCCGTGTTTATTCTCTTCATTATACTACTTGATTATTTATTTTTACTATCTTCCCCTCCTTCCTCTCCTGATCACCCATTAATTTACACTCCCCATCAAATCGACCACAAAGCCACACGTGGAACAAAGCCAGTCAGGTTCATTTCCTCCCCTCGGTAGGGAAAACCAGGGTATCTATTTCGGAGATCAGTCCATTCTGAGCATCTTCGCTCAACTGCGCCGCATGGTGCATTGTGCATCCCTCTCACCAAATCACCGCAGGTCCAACTAAGCGCCCGCCCCTGGAGAGCGAGCGAGCGAGCATTACCTACTTAGGGTGAGGGATTATCCCGTCACGCAAAAAACCAGCGATCAATCTCCTTCCGGATGAAGTCATCAACCCTGACTTTCATGGGTATCGTTGCCACGGGTATAATGTAGTCTAGTCTAGTCTAGTCAGTCAGTCACGGCGGGGAGAAATAAGGACGAAGAGGAGAGAAAAAAAAAAGACAAACACACTAAAGCAATGAGCCCGGCCCCTCCTCCACTCTCTGTCGGCCTCATGGTGGCCGGACCCACGTTGCGTCCAATCATGGTGTGCGGCGATCCCTCAGGATTGGCATTTTGTCTACCGGGTTGGGTGCGGCACAGTCGTGAGTTGCTGTGCTCCTGACAAGGCTCTGGGATGTTGTAATCTAGCCTGGAATCGGCCAGATAAGATAATAATGATAGATAAATATTGAGATTTAGCGTTGCAATGTTTACGTTTTTTTTTTGTTTGTGACGGGTTGGGAGCCTCGGGATTTGGTACGTGCCATGCACGACATATGTGATTATTGGATGGATCGTAGGAAATGCTGACGGGTAAAAATAGATAGATTTGGGAAGGAACAGATGAAGCGACGGGAGAGAAACTAGTAAATGAAAATCAAATAAAATAAATAATCAAATATACACGCGTCTCTTCAGGCCGTTCGATCGACAAAACCATCGGCAAGCGACGAAAGTCAGTCCGTGAGATTCGATTCTGCTGCCTCAACCTAGTTGGGCCAAGACTAGACAGGAAAGAGGTTAGTTGGTTTGACCCCGGTCTAGTTTGCTTTAGCGGGGTTTGGGTTTTGCTTTTGCTCTCGTTCGCGGCTCCGCTTGTCTTTCTTTCTGTCCGTCTAGTCTTACTATGTAGTAGCCTGGTAGGTGGTAGGGACATTGTTCTAGATGACAACAATCCATTGATGTACGTTGTCTATCAGTAATATACTGGATTGTCAGAATCCCAACTTCTGGTGTCCTTTCTGTCCCCGTCTACTCCGTACTCCGGACTCGCAAGTCCATCCGTGAGGGGTTTCGTCCTGCCGCTGCACACCTCAGCTGGACCGGCTAATGCCCAACTATCACACCCTACCCAGACTGTCGGGTCCATGGTGGTATTTATCACGGGTGACAGCGCCGAATCGCACCGACTCGGTTGAGGCAACCGTGTTCTTTCTTCTCTTTCTTTCTTTCTTTGTTTCTTTTCTTTTTTTTCTTTTTTTCTTGTCGTATAATCAAATATAATCAATAAATTAATAATGTTGTCGTATCTAGTCTCCATGGAGTGAAAGGATCACGACACAACATGCCAATCCGAAGTAAGCAATATCCGAACCGTGACACGCCAAGCCCTAACCTTCCTTTTCCCCACCCCTCCCTCTTCCTCCCCCCACCCAACCCAAATGTTTCCACCTGCACCTCGACCTCGCCAGTCAGTCGTTTAGGTGGATGCCTTCAGCTGGTCGTTCTAACTTGGCTGGCCCCTCTTCGGATAGAGGGAACGGCGATCTCCAGGTTTGGCAAGAGATCTTGTGTTGTTACTGTTAGTCATGAGTACTTTGTGTTACTAGGAGAGGAGGAGGATGAGAAAGCGTAATCAGTAACTACTGACTGTTAAGGAAGGATAGGCTAGGTTGGTGTGAAGAGTTCCTCGGTAGTGTATCTTACTTTGTAGTTAGTTTCTGTCAGGTTTCAGTCCAAGAAGGATTGAGGAGGAATCAGTCTGTCCAGCCATGTTACTCGCAAATCTAGGCTGGCTTTCTTTCATCACCTCTTTTCCTTTCCATCTTATATACATTCCATTCTATATATTCCATCTGTAAACCAGTTCACGAGTTCAACCAAACCAAGCCAAGCATCAAAGCAAAGAACATACCAGTCCTTGCAACTAGTGCACATACTCTCTGACTCCCTGTCCAACGATCCTTTGTTTCATCCCACTAGCTAGTACCAATTTATGATCGTTCCATTCTGCGTCCACTAGGAAGGTGGTGGTGACCCACCGACCCAAACTTCTCCCTCCTCGGAGTAACCGATACTGTTTATCCTTACTGTTGATGTGTATTACAAGGTGTATAGGGTCTTGGGAAGCTAGGAGTAGTGCTTTGAGGTCTAGTACATGATATACGAGACCTTGGTTGATGAATAGTTAGCGAGCGTGAGTGGGAGTGGACGGATGTCATGGACGCCCTCATCGACAACTACTACGTGCATAAATAGATAATAGGTCATAGATAGAGATGGACACGGAGAAAAGCACGGAGATAAGAAACACGATTTCCATTCTTCATATGTATTTAATTATATACCCTAGTTTATTAATGGATTAATTCATTTACCATTCTACTTCCCTCCCTAGTATCCGTACCTAGGTATTCCTTCTTCCCCGCTTGTGCGGTTGGTTGACCTGGGCCTGGGCTGAGCCTGAGGGCCGTGCTCGCTGTTTGTCTGTTGGCTTTGATCATCTGTTGGTTGTTTGCTGCTTGTTGTTGGTAGGCACTTACGTCGTAAAGCCTGGGATTGATTGTCTTTGAATGGATTGTCTGTTTTTTTATTATATTATATTGTATTATTGTTTGATTGAGTCGAGCATACCTGGAAAATAACTCGTAGTACTACTACCTACAGTATTCTTACAGGGAGACAGGTGGGAGGGTGGATGGATGGATGGATGCTAGGTAGACTGACGGTCGACCTGCGGAACGACGGCATTCAACCCTTTCTCTCCTTTCATTTGTTTTTATTCTTATTTTTATTTTGCAATAACTTCCCCCTTCTTTAAGACTCAAGCTGCACGTTCTTTGTTCTCAGTGAACCTACTCACCTACATACATCCTACTAAGTAATAAAGGGTAGGTAACCGCGAGGTCTGCATAAATCCATCAATCAATGGGATGATGTGGATGTGCGGTGGATTAATCAGCGGGCGGGCAGTATTGTTGTATTTCTGTTGTTTGGTATTGTATAATACGCTGGATACATACGCTGTATGTATGTATTGATGGATATCTCGCCATACCTTACAGTAGCTAGTTTGTACCTATGCTACGAAGTAGGGTACCGAGTAGGTAGATAGCAAGAATCGGGAGAACAACCACGGTACCGCATATTGGACAAGCACTTAGTTAGTAGCAGCAGCCAAAGACACCGTAAATGGAGCAAGTAGAGAATATACTATTACTACTACTACCCGATTGAGAAAGACAGGTCACAGGTAGGTAGTAGGAGATAGGCGTCGGCAAGTGTAACTCAACTCCTCTCTATAAACTCATAGAGTTTCCTCGCCTTAGCCCACCCACCTGCTACGCCAGCTACGTATGTATCCCCGTGTCACTAGAATATCAACTCCTCATCCGATCCACGGTTGGGTATATCGGTTAGGGTATTGCAGGTGTACATCGTGGCTTGGTTGTACCTGTGTATCCCACCATGATTTCCCTGGTTTTGTCCCGAAGAGATACTATACCTAGCCTTGTGACTGTCTGTCTGTCCTTGTTATGGTACCGGTAGTTGAGTCTGCCCTGTTTGCCGTGGGATGACGACGGTGTGTCCCCAGTATGTATGGTGATTGGGGAGGGCTGGATGGGGGTGTATGTATCGGTTGGATTTAGGTTGGCGGCGTTGTGCGGGGTGGATGGATGGTGTTTTTTTGGCTTTTGTGTAGCTTTTGGAGGGTTGGTGGTTTCTTGGTTTGGTTGATTGTGATTACTTCTACTTATCAATAATTGGGTAGGTTGGTAGATAGGTATTTACAGGTAGGAGGTAGGAGGTAGGAGGTAGGAGGTAGGAGGTAGGAGGTAGGAGGTAGGAGGTAGGTAGTAATGGAGAATACAATCGGGAGATGCTCTGTGCTTATTGGCTTCCTACCTACCTAGCTATGGCAATGATCTGTGTACAATTTCTTCCTTCCTTCTTCTTCTTCCTACTATCCCGATTATTTCCCGATTTTCCGATTATTTCCCTGGCAAATGTACTTCAGTGTTGATCAACCACCCCAGATACAATGCTCGTACGTTCTCGACTATCGTTCATTCAACGTGCTTTTTGTGGTGAGATACCGGCGATCAGTCGACGTGGTAGCCAGTAGCAAGCTCGCAGCTTTAGTTCATGTCAGTTGTGTTCATGTAATGTGGAAGGGGATGGATACTCACGGATCAGTCCCATACTGGATGTTGCAGTGCTCCCAGTCGGCGTCGCGGACGAGCATATTGTGGAAATGCACCGCGTTTTCGATACTGCAGAAGCGGAAGACCACGGTGCGAGGCTGGCTTGTCGTTAATGTGTTGCACGACTAATCATAGGGAGGGGGGTGGCTTACAGTATCCGGCACGTAGGTGTCAATGATCTTCTCCACCTTGCGATTGCCCGTCTTTGCGAGATTGTATAGCTGCTCCATCGTCACGTCCATGTTGGCTCCCACGACGCGGACGACGCGAGAGGAACCCACAGAGAGGTTGTACGCCAGCGCGGAACTGACGACGTCGACTTCATGGCCGGTTTCCACAAACGCGGTACATTTGCTCTCCAGGTCGATTCCGTTGGGGTATTTCTTGTAGAAGGCGTCGCAGGCTTCGTGGTCGCAGAACAGAATGTGGGCCTTGCCGGTTGGAGTCACGTACACGCTCTCGACGACACCTCCGTGGATCAAGGAGAGGACCTTGTTGGGGCTGCGCCAGGCGGAGGGAAGCCCGGTGAGAATCACACGGCGGACGCGAGACGCTATTCAGGAGAGAACCCATGTTAGTTTCTTTCATTTAAGTGAAGGAAGGAGACGATGACGCACCAGGCTTCGAGCGCTCTTCAGGCTGACCCCAGGTCTTGAAGGTTATCTGGTGCTCACGGTCTTCCTCGTGGCCTTCGGGGATGCTCACGGGAGCTTTGAAGGCAGGCGATTTGGTTGCGGGAGAACCAAAGGAGATTGCATCGCGAGCTGCAGCCGCAGAATCAGCGTTGTTGACAGTCAGTTCGTCGTCGACCTTCGAGTCCACGCCGTTTCCCCATTCATTGAAGGGGGTGGTGATTTCTGGATTGGCTGTATCAGTCAGTGTCTTTGCGCTTGATGGATCAAGCATGGGGAGGATGACTTACCAGTAGTAACATGATTGGATCCAGCAGGGTCATCAAAAGTGGTAGCTTCGGCCACGGCTGTATCAGTCAGCTCTCGGTTCGCTTGATCGAAAAGTCTAGGACGGTGACCCACCGGTGGCATGATCGTCTCCAGCAAGGTCGGACACGGATTCAGTCTTGGTATCCTGTCTGGTAGACGCGGCTGAGGTGTACGCCGGGAAGGTTTCCTGGAGCTTACGCGCAGCAGCCATGAAGCCAGCGGCATCGTCTACATCGGCCACGGGGTATTCTTTTTCGGGCTCAGGAGAAGTGGAAGACATCTTGGTGGTCTAGTTTGAGTTAGACGATGACAAGGGGATGGAAGAGGATGGGTGTGGGTGTGAAACAGGGAGAGTTTTAAGAAGGGAGAGAGGTGTGAGTGTGTGAGAAAGGATGTTTTCAGAGACAGGTGAATTGTCGTGTCTTTGTTTTGGCTGTCTGGGGGAGGGAATGACGCCGAGAACATGACACGCAGGGAAACAGGAAGAAATCATGGAAGTTTAAGGAAGAGAAGAAAGAAGAGAGAAATGAGAAATGAGAAGATTAGACACACCTGAGATGGGCTGGGAGGGAATTCACGGTGGGATACCTTTGGGGCATGAACACTGTCCTCCAGACCAGCAAAGATAACCCTGTCGAGGACATCCTCGATGGAGTTGATGATGATACCGGATATCCTCTTGATAGAGTCCATATTGTGATTGGTGATGGTGACCAAGTCGGCCATTTTACATGTAAAGAAGACAATGATCCTGCTTTATACCATTGAATCATGTGAGACAGTCAGAAGTTAGAAGATACAGTCACTTAAAAGCAACAGAGTTAGTAGTGATATATAGATATCCTAATCACATTTCCAGTCATTGTGAAATGTGTCAGAAATTATAGCGAAGTTGATATATTTACTGTCAGCAGCTTTATACCTCATTATCCTCGCTATGATTTTTATCCAGTATATGACTTCCCAAGACTGATTGACCTATATTAACCATTTATAAAGCTCTAGAAAGAAAAAAGATAATATAGCCTTTTATACCTGACCTCCTATATATATCAAATTTACATCGTTCATAGATCACGCCGTCACCAAGGTGCCCGGCCATGACTCACATAATACTATATAATGATCCCCAAACCCCTCACTTAACACCTCCTCTTCTACAACTCTTTCCCTCCAACATCCCACCTTCCCCACAAACCCATCCACCCGCCCATCATGCCCAAATTCCACTACGCAAACTCCTCCGACCCCGTCCCTGGCGATGGCAACAACCTCCCCTCCCAATTCACCATAAACGTCCCCTCCCAAACCGACATCTGGACCAAACCCCCAACCACAACCCGCTTCAACGCCCCTATCCTCTACCGACCCATCCCTATCTCCTCCTTCCAGCGCATGCGCGTCAACTTCACCGCCAACTGGGAACACCAGTACGACCAAGGCGGCCTCATCTTCGTGCTAAACGGCACAGATGGCTCCCGCAAGTGGATCAAGACCGGCATCGAGCTGGTCGATGGCCGGCCCCGTCTCAGCACCGTCACCTGTGACCGCGCCGCGGATTGGAGTCTCGTGTCTGTCCCTGAGGGCACCCGCGGCGCTACCGTTGAGGCTGTCCGTGCGAAGGATGATTCGCTGTGGATTTATCTTGTGGAGGATGGGGAGCAAAGGTCGCCGCTACGGGAGGTGACGTGGGCGCTGGAGGAGACGGGCGTTAGGGATCTGTGGGTTGGGGTTTTTGGGGCGAGGCCGTCTGCTGAGGGGGGCGATTTAGTGGTTGGATTTCGGGATTTTGTTCTTGATTTGGTTTAAGGCTTGGCTGTTTTTTTTTGATGGGTGGTCATTATTCAGTCGCACTTGTCTATGGAAGATTTTGTCTGCTGATTTGACTTGGCTGCAGGCTGTGGGAGGGTCAGTATAGATAAGAAGTCTATAGTTAAGAGTATTTGGGGATGCAGTAACAAGCAAGCTTATATAGGAACTTGAGGAGATAGCTTGTTCAATACTGCTTCTTTACTATGGACGTGTCGTAATCTAGTCTCTATTGATAAACTTCTCAAGATCTTTCTTATCTTGTTTGTATTTCAAGTTTATCTTTTTACTAGAATAGAAATTGGCACTTTGATCCTGACGTATAGAAAGTAGAGAGAGCTTTAGGGAAGATGCCTTGAAGCTAGTAGCATGGAATAATATCCTAGATCAATGAGCCGACAAGAAATACACCCACTGAGTTATATATTCTTCATTAGTGTAGCTAGTTTTCTAGATGACATATTTGATCCCAACCCTCTCAATCTATGTTGAAAGCAGAAACCAACTATCGCTCCAAAAGCCGCATATTACGTGGTCTTCATGGGCGTCGACACTAGGACGGTGTGCAATAGTAGCTACTGATATTGTCGAGGCAGTGTTTCGGAAGCCGCTTGAAACCAGGATATTCCTTTCCAGAGCAAGTTGCGGAATTTCTAGCAATTGTCAGTTCATTTCGTCTCTTCTTGACGTTATCGGGTCTGGATATACTCACGGAGTGCCGACAGTGCAAAGGAAGCCCTTCGAGTCCACGGCGAACGAGCCCGCGTTGTCTCTATATCCGTTCCGGATCTTATGCGTAGCCGACGGCTTCTGGCATTCGCTGTAGCAGGGTCCTCTAAAATCATAGTTCTGGCACACTCTGATCTTGACGCAGACTTCAGGTTCGATATCTGGGAGTTTGGGTTTCTGATGTCAGTTGCTTGTGTCAATCATTGCGGAGGAAAGGAAGCTTTAGCAGCGTACCTCCGGTCGTGGCAATGGCTGGGCTGGAGAGCATGGCCATTGCGTCAGATAGGCTGTTTCCTATAGCTAGGGAAGCCTGATATGGCGGTGGAGGCCTAAGAAGAGGGCTTAACATCTTCTGCTCACAAACACTGTACCATGAATGGTAAAGAAAAGTGTGCCTGAATGTGTGTGGTTTTATCTAGAAACAATACATAGTGTGTAGTTTTATACAGAAAAAGCAGTGACCCACAGCTACGGAGGCATAAGATGGAGGTGGGAGGCCTGAGAAAACGACCGAGCCTTTCTGCTCAAGTAACGCTACGCTATGAATAATCGAGTAAAGTGTACTCCGAATATGCAGTTTTAGCTACAAACAGCAACTATGCTGGTCTGGAGCTACTGTATCACTGTTAACCCGCATAAGGCAGGTGTCGTTGCGTGCTTGACACCCGCCGTATATATGTGGTCGACTACGGAGGAATCAAAGATTGAGATGTATCAATATCTCTCATTTTACAGTCGCAGACTCATAAAATTTAGAACTTGATTGATTCTATTTGGTGTATGGTATACTTGCTATCTTCATTAATCTGGTTATCACTTGACCAGCGTGATACAAACCCTACATGTGGTCATAGTCGCTGTACACAGACCCGTTCGATATCTGTTCGGCAGCGATCCGATCCATTCGTTACGAGGCCGAGACATAATGGATAGAATCAAGTCAAATACCTTCGCGACCACAGGAGTCACGCCGTTATTAGGGGCGAAAGAGTCCCCCTTTTTCATCCAACAGCCACTGCTCATCGCGGGGATATTGATTACCGCCTGAGCATATATCCTTGGTTCATAGTTTTTAGAAGCTTACCTTACCTAAAGCTGTGTCTTGCTCCTACTGGTTTGCTGTGGGTGTTGAAGATGCGTAGTAACCAAGAAGCTTGTTCAGCATGTTCTAGTAAGTTTGGCGGTATGGCTATATCCCAGAGCTCCAGCCGAGCAGGGCCACGATCTCTCTTTGTATGATATATGTCTGGATCTGGAATCCGTTGACTTGTCAGTTGGAATCAGGCTCTGGTGGCAGTATCTGGCGTTTGTCATAGAATCCAAGGACTGAAGGGCTGTATTGTGGGGTTTTTATCTCTTGATGGGTGAAAAGCTATTAGAGAGCGGGATATTTCGGAATATCCTTCATATGCTGGATTATGAAAGCATTGTCTTTTGGGCTGGCCTGGGCATGAAAATAAAATTGACGGTGGTATGTTCAGAAGACTTGTCAGCTTATAAACTTCATATTAGCAGACAACAAGTGTCAAAGAGAAGACAAGTTCAATTATAAACAATGGGGTTGACCCGGGCGCAATGAACGTGGTTACCGGCTCACATGTATATATGACGCACGGCCGGTAGTACAACGCAGGTCCCGACAAGAGATGCCGTCCTACTCTCAAACAGACTAGATGGCGCCGCATTGTTGTGGTATACGATGCAGCTTGTGGCACACATTGACTGTCGGGGACCGGAATAAAAAAAGGAGACGAAAGGAAAAGAAAATATAGGGATCGACACTCCTTCAAATCCCGAGACATCCATCCTGAAACGCCACGAGAGAATAGAAGGTGACCAACCCCACCTGGAAGTGAACCGTCTGACCCCGATAGCCCTGGCGTTGCAGTGCTAGTGTCGATTGAACACGGGACATCATCGGGTTCATCTATATCTCCCGGATGGAGTGGAGAATGACAACTACGGATTCAAATCACATGGCTTTCGGGGCCAACGTGGATGTATCCTGTGAGGATAGCCTGTGGTACATGTCCTACTATCTGGTTTTTAATCGTTGTAGAACATTACCTTCGGTGTCGAAGTTAGTATACTTCAAGTGGAGAAGACTAGTCCTCGATTGGTCATGGCCGATCGGCCTGATGGAACTCCTTTCACGCGGTATTCGCGGTATACACATGTTAAGTATGATCATGTATAGTAGTATAGTATCTCTCTCGCATTCTATAACATTCTTCTCTTCTGATGATGATAATATTACGATCTTTTTTTCGATATTATCGACGGATTGATCTGATAGAGAATCAATTAATCGTCCATGTAGGAGAATGATAAGCTGATCTTATCATATCTGATGGAGCCGAAACCGCAACTAAACCATTCCTGGCTTTGCCACTTCTGGGTAAACTTCTCCTCCCCACCTTTTCTCTTCCTCTCACTTTCACTCTCTCTTTTCCTCGCTCACGTCACTTCTTCTTCTTCTTCCCCTCTTTGCATATTATCCTTCCTCCTTCTACTCCATTGGTAAATATTGACGAGCATTTAGAGGGCTACTTCCTATCTTTATCTCCCCTTCATTCACCCCACCTATTCTCCGACAGGTCACTCATGACCTCACATGCACCATACCAGTCTTGATTACGTGTATCTCCTCAACTGATCAACTCCAAACGCAAGGATAACACTCCATGAGTCACTTCTTCACCCTGGACGAGGGTTCTCCAATATCTCAATCCCACTATCGACTCGCTCAGCAAATAGTTTCCGCTTCAGCCTCCCATCCTGGTGGTGCCATACCCTGCCTGGGCCTCGGGCCTCAAGCCCATAGGCTGATCCCGCTTTCCCTCCCACGTCGACGTGCATAAGTCTCGCCTGTCGATCGTGTCGACGGGCCCCCCCCTCCCCCCGATTGTGATTCATACCACCCCATTCTTCTGCAGTTTGGAGTTCTTTGATGATTGCTCCCGCGCTTTCTTCCTCCTGTACAATAGATATTATCGATCGCTGGATCCACCCCTTTCCGAAGGTTACCTAACTCATATGTCTGGTGCCCGACGCCTGACATCTCATCTACGCTTGCGCCTCTTCAGCTTGGCCGCCGGCCCCTCCGTTTTATTTGAAAAATACTCCACTTCCACCAATCTCCGATTTTCGTCCTAGGTTTCCCTCTACACTGGTTTATTTGGCGCCGATCCCCGCGTGGTTGCTTTTCGCTTTTTTCGTTGCGGTGGGCCCGTCTACCTGGCTAGCTCTCACGTAACCACCTGCTTTATAAGACTATACGTCTCCCTCCGTCTGCGCTTTCAACTCGGCTGGCCCTATCGTGACGCTTGATGCGCGGTTTTTGGACTGGGTTTACTAGACGGCTACTACCATATACCTCCTGTGTCTCCCTACGATCCGACTACGATTTCTCGAACCTCGCCCTTGATAGATGGACCGTGCTCGCCCTACTTTCGCCCGTCGAAACCCGCCCTTTACGCACTTGGCCCTGTCGCAATGCCCCAAATTGATGTCCGATCGGGACCCTCGTATGGAACAATCGACCCAGACCAGATGGAACAACACCCGACGGACGAAGGAGACCATCTCCTGCACCCGGGGTACGAGACCGATGGCCACGCCAGCGACTCGACCTCCGAGGATTCGATCCAGGAAGGCGTCCGGAAGATCGAAGCCATTAATCTGACGTGGACCACGAAGTCCTTGATCATAGCATACATCAGGTGTGTTTCCCGGCCCGCCGCATGCCGAGGTTGCAACTGACCCGATTCTTAGCATCTTTCTCATGGCGTTCTGTACCTCGTTGGAGAGTCAAACGACCATTTCCCTTTCGGCTTATGCCACCAGCGCGTTCAGCAAGCATTCTTTGATCTCCACCGTCATGGTCATTCAGAATGTGGTCTTGGGTAGGTGAACCTCGATCGTGGTTGTCCGGTGGTTTTGCGCTCTCCATCCGCTAATCCCCCTCAGCGGTGGTCAAACCCCCCATGGCCAAGATCGCCGACGTCTTTGGTCGCTTCGAAGCATTCTGCGTGAGCATCTTGATCTATGTCCTTGGGTACATCCAGATGGCTGCCTCGAACAACGTCCAAACCTACGCGTCCGCCCAGATCTTCTATTCGGCCGGCTCCACCGGTTTGCAGATCCTCCAACAAGTGTTCATCGCCGACAGCAGCAGTCTCCTGAACCGCGCGCTCTTTGCCCTGTTGCCCGAACTGCCCTTCCTCGTCACCGTCTGGATCGGGCCGTCGATTGCGGACTCGGTGCTCCACAATCTCTCGTGGCGGTGGGGCTACGGCATGTGGTCGGTGATCCTGCCGGCGTCGTTTCTGCCACTGGCCCTCTCGTTGCTGCTGAACCAACGCAAGGCCCGCCGTCTGAACCTCATCAAGACGAAGGTGCACCGTCGGACCGGTCTCGTGGCCCGTGTCCGTCGCACCTGGTATGATCTCGATATGGGCGGACTGATTATCTTGTCGGCGGCGGTCATCCTGATCTTGGTCCCCTTGACGCTGGCTGCCAATGCCAAGGATGGCTGGACGAACAACAACATCGTCACTATGATCGTGGTGGGCGTGCTGTGTCTGATCGCGTTGCCGGCCTGGGAGACCTCGAAGAGGCTGGCGCCGCGGCCCCTCCTCTCCTTACACCTGCTCAAACAACGCACCGTCCTTGCGGGCTGTACCCTCATCTTCTGGTATTTCAGTACGTATCATCCCCCCGGTCGCGCGTGCACGTATAGAACGCGCTAACAGGGTCTAGTGGCCTACTTTTTCGCCATCCAACCCTACCTCAACTCGTACCTCCAGGTGGTCCAGGACTTTGAAGTCTCCACGGCGGGCCGTGTGACCCAGACCTTTGCATTCATGTCGACGATTTCCGCGTTCGCGGTGTCCCTGTTGATCAAGTACACGCGGCGCTACCGCATCTATGCGACCGTCGGGTCCGCGGTGTACATGCTGGGCTTCCTGCTGATGTATCTCTTCCGGCAGGAAGGGAGCTCGTATGCGCAGATCCTGGTCCCGCAGATTCTGGTGGGACTCGGTGGCGGGCTCGTCAACGTGCCCGTCCAGCTGGGCATCCAGGCCGCCGCCAGCCACCAGGAAGTGGCCGCGGCCACGGCGATGTTCCTCACGTGCATGGAGATGGGTGGGGCGGTCGGAGCCGCCATCTCGGGCGCCATCTGGACGCACAACATCCCGCGCAAGCTGGAGCGGTATCTTCCCGAGGCGGATCGGCCGTTCGCGAAGGAGATCTTTGGGAAACTGACCAAGGCCCTGGAGTACCCGATGGGGTCTCCCGCGCGGATTGCCATCAATCGATCGTATCAGGAGACGATGAACAAGTTACTGATTCTGGCGCTCGTGGTGACGCTCCCGCTGATTCCATTGAGCTTGTTGATGGACAACTACAAGCTGGACAAGGTAGGTTTCTCGTGCCCTTCCCCTCGTCGCATCCATCCCACTCACAAGGCGATAGATGAGCCAGGATCCTCAAGACCACGAGCCGATCCTTCCACGCGAGGCAGCAGAAGACGGCACGGACCGACACTCGAAGCGAACGTGATAGGAGGTGATGCTGTACATGTGCAATTGACACCCGAGGTGTTGCGGGGCAGGACTCCGCAGGTTTGTTGTTCCGGGGGGGAGTGATTGAGCCCCGGAACCAGGTTGGAATGGGAGGGAATCCTCTGGTTCGACATGTATCTGGGTTGACTCGGGAGTGGGCCCATTGTTCCCGTGTCTCTTCCCTTTTCCCTTTATTTTCTCTCTTCCTTGTTTTCCCTCCCGCTTTTCATTTTTTTTTCATTTTTCTCTCATTTTTTATTGCATCTCAGATTTATTGCATCGGCGAGAGCGTCGGGTCTACGTGCTGGCCAGGCACGTGGAGTTTTGGGATGATTGTTTTTTTTTTGTATATTTTCTTTTTCTGACGATCCTGGGGATTATGACCGGGATGGGGCGGGCCTCTATAGATAGACCTGGATGTTTGATTGCATGTCTGATGACATGTTTGATGAGCATGAATGAAATAGACGAGTGATGATCTATACTACTAGGTAGTACTGTAGCCTGTAGGGCTTGGGGGGAGTGGAAACCGAGGGATTAAAAAAAAAACAAACAATAAAAGGAAAAATAACAAATAAAAATAAAAATAAAAAAAGAGGGAAAAAAGGGTTGATGGTTCCCCGAGTGGATCATCACATCATGAAACTGCCTTTTCTTTTAATTTTTTTATTTAGGGGAGAAAATAGTGGATCCCCCGTCCAACGCTCTGACAGACTGACAGGTCCGATCGAGGATGAAGTTTGGATGGGAACATGATAGACAGACGGAGAGACAGATGGACACCTGAGAGATGAGGATGACTATTGCCTGGGGATTCCAGGGGTTCATCAACAACAGGAGTATTAATTACCTGATACCTAGGTAGGTAGGTAGGTACCAGACACCTGGTATCCCAGGTATCCAAGGGAACCCTTGGATTGGGATGTTCTATATTGATTATTTTCTTTGGATCAAAGGTAACAGATGAGCAGATAGAAGAGACATCAGAAGATTCTGAATATTATAGTGATCTATCTCAATCATCAGACAGGATCAGGATCATCATGGGCAATGGATTGAAACGTGCCATCTGTATTCTCCCGTACCCGTATTGAGCGATCCTCTCTGATTTGTCCCGGATGATTTCCACAATTGGCTGGACTTTTCTACTCAATCCTTCAACCTCAGGCTTTTTACCTAGTACTGCTAACCACTACTAACACTACTCACCGCACACCAACCACCATCGACGCTGCTATCCCTACCCCGGCGCTTCTTCTCTCCCCCCTCTCCCTCTTCCTCTCCCTCTCTCTCTCTTCCTCTCCTCCTTCTTTCTTTTTCCTCTCTACTCCGTACACGTCTGTCCTCGACTTCGATTCTCTCCCCACCTTGCGTCTCTTGGACTTTCGGTTTCTCTCTTCATTCCTCACAGTTCATCCTCTTTCCTCCCCTCCTTCTTTCCCTCCCTCTCTCCCTCTCTCTCCACCCTTCATCCTCCCCCCCACCCAACCCATCCATTCGTCTTCACCCATACAACTCACCGCATATCACTCCTATCCCGTCCCATCTAGACAGCTCCTCCTCCCTCTCTTATTATCATATCATCCCCTCCTCCACCTGGTCCCCTCCCCTCCCTTCCCCTCCGCTCCCCCCCTCATCTTCCTCTTTCTTTACCCCTGCACCTTCCCCGTTCGCAGAGCCTCCGAGAGCTCTAGATTTCCACCATGGTTGTGGCTACGATTAAGTGCGTCCCCCCCCCCTCCTCTGCATGCATCCCTCGATCCTCCTCCCCTCACACCCCTCATCTCGCTGATCGCCAATCTCATATCACGATTCCCCATTCCCTTTTTGAGTTATTCACTTGATTCCTCGGTGTCATCCGCGCCTGCTAACTCGGTCCCCCTTCGATAGGTGTGTGGTGGTTGGTGACGGTGCGGTCGGAAAGACATGTCTCCTCATTTCTTACACGACGAACAAATTCCCTTCTGAATACGTGCCTACGGTCTTTGATAATTATGCTGTTACTGTGATGTAAGTCGACTTGCAACCCGCCAGTCCGTCTTAGTCGCGCCCGACCCCGACGTCGCGACGATGTCTCGAGTTCGTGTCGGATCGGCCTCTACTCGGAATCGGCAGCTTTTCTCCTAGTGAACCCTGACTGATCGTTTCTGCTTTCGCTAGGATCGGTGATGAACCGTATACGTTGGGTCTCTTCGATACCGCCGGTCAGGAGGATTATGACCGTCTCCGCCCGCTGTCCTACCCCCAGACCGATGTCTTCCTCGTCTGCTTCTCCGTCACCTCCCCCGCCTCCTTCGAAAACGTTCGCGAGAAGTGGCTCCCCGAGGTCCGACACCACTGCCCCGGCGTCCCCTGCCTCATCGTCGGCACCCAGACCGATTTGCGCGATGATCCCGCTGTGAGGGAGAAGTTGGCTCGCCAAAAGATGCAGCCCATCCGAAAGGAGGATGGCGATCGCATGGCCAAGGAGTTGGGTGCCGTCAAATACGTCGAATGTTCCGCCCTTACTCAGTACAAGCTCAAGGATGTCTTTGACGAGGTGAGTCGATGCACATAATGGTCTACGAAATCCACGATACTGACGCGATCTTTTCTTCAGGCCATCGTCGCGGCGTTGGAGCCTCCCGTCAAGAAGAAGAGGCCCACTTGTCTGCTGTTGTAATTGAGTCAAATCATGCGTTACCATGTTAGTCGCTTCCTTGCACCGTTCCAGACCTCCGACTGACCCGGTTCAGATATGTTGCAATGCGTTTGGAAGGTTGGGAGCGTTGACGTGCTTGATCGAGAACTGAAGCCAGAATCTTTTCCTTTTCTTTTGCTTTCTTTGTTTTTTTTCCCCTTTTTCTTCGACTGCATGTAAGAGGGAGGCGGATCGCCACGTTCACCAGAGGATTCTCTCATGGCTGTCCCCGAATTTCGAGCAATCCTACCACCGATCGATGGCCTGCGAACCAGGATACTCGCCAGTCCTCCCCTCGACACCTTCTCTCCGTCGGTCCATCGATTGATTCTGCACGTCCGATTCATGTCCGCCTTATCCTCCGCTGATTCACCCGGATCCTTGCTCGTACCCACCCCCGGCTGTTTCCCGGCTGTTTCCCGCCTTTCTTCCCTTCCACTGTCCATGTTCCCTTCTTTGATTCACCGTCTCTGTCGGCGTTGGAAGTCGAGGCGTCTTATTTTTGGCTGGCTGATGATATTGATCTGTTGCTTCATCTCCGCGATTTTGTTTCCTGCGACATGCTTGTCCGCCACCAAGACAAGACAAGACCAATTTGTTGTGCCGTTCCACCCCTTTCCTCCATCCCTCGGGGCCTGGCTTGCGATGCGATGTGATCTGACCCAGCCGTGATACCCCGGGTTTACCTTTCCCTTTCCTTACCCTCTGGTTCGATCCGTTGCCTTGCTCGATCCGTTTGCCTGGCTTGATGCATATGGCCATCCCGGGACCGGGTTATATATCGTGGTGGGCCCGGGGGTTGTCTTACTGTCCCGGTCTTATATAGCTCGTATGGGGCTTGTATGAGTCAGTAGAGCCCGAATGGAATATATGTGTTGATTACCTATAGTAGCCTCATAGGACGGTGACTGTATCTTCTATAGACTGGATTGTTCTTGGGGAGTCTTCCTGAGGTTGATTGGGTGGTATTATCGCATGGGTACGCATCTACTGGAACTAGAACTGGAGTGAGTGGTCGTGGGATCTGTCACATTGGACTTAACTATGATACTCTCTCGCTGTTCAATACTTCATAGTTATGCATGGTAGCCAATAAGGTACATCTAAGATAGCCACTAAGGTAGTTATGATAGTCTCACTTACAAAGCCCTCCCTCCATAACTACCTAGTTACCCATATACATACATAAAGGCATCTCAAGTAGCTGATACATCCACTAGTCAAACTAGTCTTGCCTCTCACTTACTTTATACATATATAGATGTTTTAATAGGTAGGCTAAGGCATATCTGGGGTAAATACGTTACTCGGTTGCTGGGAGTGGGTAGTCGTCTTGGTTTAGACTGATTTGATGCCAAGTGTGATAGTTCGTGAGGTATTTCTGGGGTATGTGACTCTCACTAATTACTAAGTTATTATTTTATGCTTTGTGTGTATGTTTAATTGTGGAGTGGCTGATGGGGTGTACTAATATATCTGGGGTGGTCGGTTGTCGTACATACTCGTGATTGGGTTTGACTTTGGCTATAGTTGATGATTTATGCTTTGGCTACGTATGTAATAATTGGTGAGGTATATTTCGGGTGAGATGATTGTGGTGGTGCTCTTGAGTTATGATGTGATGTCTGCGCTGTGGGCTCCGCACTCTATGTGCCTGTGTCTGGGGTAGATGTGAGACTTGGTGATTGAGGCTTGGCTTCATACTTTATACTTCATGCTTCATAGTTCGTTCTACATTGTGGATAAATTAGGTTTGCGATGGCTAATATCTTCACTTCGTACTTCGTACTCCATACTCGTGCTCATACTCATACTCATACTCATACTCATACTCATACTCATACTCATACTCATACTCATACACATGATGGCTGACGAGCGCCAACCTCGTTACATCATCATCTACAGCTCATCCTTCGTACCCTGTCCCGTCGAGCCGTCCTTCTTCACCTTTCCTGCCGACGAACCCCCCTTCTTCCCATACCACCCCCCCACCTCCTCCCTCGACCCCCGCTTAACCATACTCGTAATAATCTCAAACGCCGCCTGCGCAGCCGCCAAAGCAGTCGTCTCCCCCTTATTATCATAACTAGGCGACACCTCCACGATATCCGCCCCAACCAGATTCAACCCCTCGATCCCGCGCAAGATCCGGATAAACTCCCGCGTCGTCCACCCGCCCGGCTCGGGCGTGCCCGTGCCCGGCGCAGTAGCTGGATCCAGCACGTCGATGTCCACGGATAGATACACGGGCTGGTCCGGGTCGAGACCCGTTCGCGCGAGAATCCGCTCGACAACGCCCATAGGCCCCACATCGTCGATGTCGTCGGCGTGGATCCGGATGAAGCCCTCTTGCTCGGGGCTTCCCTCGGCCGTGTAATCGCTGTCGTCGGTGCCTGTTAGGCGGGTGCGTAAGCCGGCGTGTGCGCTCGTCGCGTGGCAGATTAGGCCCTCTTTGCTCGCCTTGTGGAAGAAGCTTCCGTGGTTGAACTGTGTTTGCTCCGATTGCCAGTACGCGGAGTAGCGCACGGGGTTCCAGGTATCCAGGTGCGCGTCGAAGTGGACTACCGTTATCGGCTTCCCGTAGATCTTATGCAGCGCGCGCAGCGCAGGCAGCGCCACGCTGTGGTCGCCGCCTAACGTGACCAGCTTGGGCTTTCCAGCTGAAATACCCTGCGCTCCGCCCTCACTGCTCGATGGAGTCTTGCGAGACCCCAGCTCGAGGAAAGCCTCGTACATCTGCCGCTCGGCTAACCCGTTGTCGAACGGTGTGATCGGGATATCCCCGCAGTCTTTGATCGTCGCCCAGGACATGTACGGGTTTATCCCTGCGCGCGTGTTGTAGCTGGTTGCGCGCAGCTGGCGCGCGCTGGCGGCGCGGATGGCACGGGGTCCGAATCGTGCGCCCGGACGGTAGCTTACTGCTGTGTCGAAGGGGGCGCCGATGACGGCGATGTCGTAGTGTTCGTTGGGGGTGGTTAGGCATTTTACGGGGTTGAGGTGCGCGAAGGTGGATATGCCGGTGAAGGACCACTTTCGTTTGTCAGTATTGATAAATATATATATATATATATATGTAGACGGTGTGTATGTATATGTATGTATGTGTATATGGAGACTCACCTCTTGATCCCATTTCTTGAGTAGTTCCTCGCGCTCGGCGTCGGGGATGGCTTCGTCATTGTGGTGGGCGCATGAGAGGGCCGTTCCGGCTAGGGCGAGGAGCCCTAGGGAGAATTTCATGCTGATGGTGTGTACTATAGACTGTGGAAATATTGAGTATGAAGAAGAAGAAAGAAACAAAAAAAAAGAAGAAGAAAAGAAGGAAAGGAAAAGAGGAGATGCTGGTTATATCTATGATCCAGACAAACTGATAGACCGATAAGGATACAGTACAATACACACATTAAATGGTATTGGGCACCAGTAAGATAGCACCCAATACAATGTAATACGACATCCACTCTATCGTGAAGACTTTCCCTTTCGGGCCACTTTTTTCATCATCAACTTCAACTCTCGATCTTCTTCTCTTCCGATTCGTCTTGTCTCATTCTTATTTCTGTTCTCCCGCGGACTTGCTGGCTCTATATCAACATATTAAAGAGTAGCATCTGGCTTAGCCGATCCATCTCCCTATCAATCCGCCGGACTCACGATGCCATGCGTCGGGTTGTCGTCACTGGTCTAGGAGCGGTCTCTCCCTTGGGTGTTGGTATGTCTTTCTTGCTTTCTTTCCTTGCTTTAGGTACAGTCATACCTACATGTTACGACTCTGTATCACTATGGATGATTTGATTATCCCCACTCCAACCACCTAATTGAAACGGAGGGGGATATCTCCAAGATTCATCCTCGGTCCAACCAACCAACCATCTGTCCCCACTCCTCCGCATCGGGAAGGTCAAGCCTTTGGAGAACCCCTCATTCTATACCTAGTTATACATATATGTATTTGTAACAATGCTAACCATTCCGAACAGGCATCCGTCGCACCTGGTCCCGTTTATTAGACGGTCACTGTGGCATTGTCAATGTCCGTGAGCGTGGCCCCAGGTTCGCGGAGGTACCGTGTCAGATTGCCGCCGTCGTGCCTCAGGGTACGCGGCAGGATGGCGGGTGGAATGCTTCCGAGTGGTTGAGTAGGGATGTATGTCTATCGAATTATATACCCTGTGCTTGGTGTTAAGCGCTTCCCTTCAGAGGAAGATGGCTAACCCGCGCAGGAAGAGCGCAAAATGGCTCGCTTCGCCCAGTATGCGCTGGCCGCTTCTGAAGAAGCCCTAGGTGATGCGGGGTGGATGCGGACGACGGCGGATCAGAAGGAAGCTACGGTGTGTATCACGTTTGATGATTTCTATGGACTGTATCAGCTGACCGTCTGTAGGGAATCTGTTTGGGATCGGGGATTGGGAACTTTGATGAGATCTATGATACTGTCGTCGCCTATGAGAAAGGAGTGAGTCGGCATCCCCCTTTGAGAATATGGTTCTAGCGTGCTGACTAGCGTAGGGATATAAAAAAGTCTCCCCCCTGTTTGTGCCCAAGTTGTTGATCAATCTGGGCGCGGGCCATATCTCCATGAAGCATGGGTTCATGGTAAGAAATGACCCTTGTGATGACCGGACGTGGCTAACTGCGCAGGGTCCCAATCATACGGCAACGACAGCATGCACGACAGGCGCCCATTCCATCGGTGATGCCGCTCGCTTCATTGCCTGTGGCGATGCCGATGTCATGTTAGCTGGCGGAGCCGAGTCTTGCATCCATCCCCTCGCCATCGGGGGATTTGCACGAGCGCGCAGCTTGGCCACTAACTACAACAATGACCCTGAGAAGGCCTCGCGGCCATTCGACGCGGATCGTGAAGGTTTCGTCGTTGGGGAAGGGGCCGCGATGGTGGTCCTCGAGGTAATCTTCCATACTTATTGAGAGAGAGCAGGACAAGCAAGACTGACTTCCCTACAGGAACTTGACCATGCAAAGGCGCGAGGCGCCCGCATCTACGCCGAGTTGAAAGGTTACGGCTGTTCCGGCGATGCGTACCACATGACGGCTCCCAAGGAGAACGGCGAGGGCGCCTTCCTAGCGATGAAGAAGGCGCTGAAGAACGCACATCTTCCCCCCTCCGCGGTTGACTACGTCAACGCCCATGCCACGTCGACGATCGTGGGAGACGCCGCCGAGAACGCTGCCATCAAGACCCTCCTACTCGGTCCTGGGGGGAAACAGCGCGCGAGTGAAGTGAATATCAGCAGTACTAAGGGCGCAGTGGGCCATCTTCTGGGTGGAGCGGGCGCCATCGAAGCGGTTTTTAGCGTTCTGGCTATTCACGAGGTGGGTTCCTTCATCTTTCCTTTCCCTAACTGTTCCTGGGGTTGCGCTAACGGCGATAGAATACCATGCCGCCTACGATCAACCTGCAGCGTCTGGCTGATGGATTCGACTGTAATTATGCTCCGAACGAGGCCCAACAGCGCCCGATCGAGGTGGCATTGACTAATAGCTTTGGCTTTGGGGGGACGAATAGCTCTTTGTGCTTTTCGAGACTGAGGTGATCCTGGGCAGGTTGGCTGTATTTGTATCTTGTATATACCTGCGTTGTAAATGTAAACACGGTTTCGAAACGTGACATACTATCATATCAAAGACAACAGTAAGATATATCCTCTTCAATCAGCTACACTAATCCAGCCATAGTCGTCAATAACCAACAAACAATCAAAAGAATAAAGACCGTAAGAAAGCATGAATGAACAATAGACCACCACGTGACCCACCCGATGCGGAGAGACAGGCGGAACCTCACCTCGACAACTACGATAATACTAACTCACTAACCCAGTTCCGACCGACCGATCGATTCAAACCCACACTTCCCCCACATACCTTCACATACACATACACATATACAACCACGGCCGACGACCCGTGATTCCACTCGTTTCACTGCATTTTCCGATCTATTTACCCGTTTGGCGATCGCTCGCTATATTACTCTTACTCTCGAAGAACAACGGCGAACCGGACGGACGTCGGAAAGGAAAGGAAAGATAGGAGAGGGGGGATAACTGAATCAAGAAAAGAAAGGAGAGTGAGAGGAGAGCATCGATCATGGCGACTAATACTGTTGTTGGTATGTTTGGTCGGTCGATACTTATGGATTGAGTTGAGATGGTTGGGTTAATGATGACGACAGGTAATCTGGTCGATGCCTCTGGGTACAAATACTCGGAGAAAGATACGAAGCCGGGGAAGATCAAGTTGAAGAAGACTGGTGCTGGGGCTGGTAGGGGGCGGAAGAAGAATGATGGTATTTTCTCCCTTTCCCGTTGTCTATCCTCGTTGGGTATTAGGGGTGTGTATGAGTGTGGTTGGCTGACTCCTCCAGATAAAGAACCGCCTCCCTCCCCCGGATCTTCGCCCATTCTCCCTGAGATCGACGAGAAGACGATCGCTGCCTTTCCGACGGGTAAGCCGCGCGAGGAAGACCGATTGGAGACAGTTATTTGCAAGACGTGCAAGAGGCCGGTCCTCAAGCAGAACGCCGTCGAGCACATCCGCGGCTGCGTGAAAGCGAAGCAGGAGAAGGCGAGGCGGAAGAAGGAGGCGCGCGATGCGGCCAACCGCGCGAAGGAGAGGGTCGATGGAGACGACGAGGGCGCGGGCGCCGGCAGCGTCGGTGGGGATAAGGGCGACGGCGAGGAGTCGTCGATGAAGGGGCAGAAGAGCGCGAAGAAGAGCGCTGTTAAGGGGATGGCGGAGGATGGGACGAAGAAGGGGAAGAAGCGCAAGGCGGAGGCCGAGGACGATAAGGATAGCAAGGAGCCGACGAAGAAAAAGAAGAAAAAGGAGGAGCCCAAGCCGAAGGCGGCGAAGCCGAAGGGCCCGGTTGATGTTGAGAAGCAGTGTGGTGTTACGCTGCCTAATGGGGCTCAGTGTGCGCGCTCTTTGACTTGTAAGAGTCATTCTATGGGTGCGAAGCGTGGGGTGCCGGGTCGGTCGTTGCCGTATGATATGCTGTTGCAGGCTTATCAGAAGAAGAATCAGGCGAGGCAGCAGAGTGAGTCTTTTCTCTTTCTTTTTCTTCTTCTTCTTCTTCTTCTTCTTCTCCTGTTCCCCTTTCGAGTGCTGTTGGCTGACCTCGGATCTATCTGCAGAGGCTGCCATCGACGCCAATGCCCCCCTTCAGGACGACCTGGAAAACAATGGCCCCGTCGACTCCGACGAAGAGAAAGACGCCGTCATGGCTGCCATCGCCCGCTCGCACCCGCAGCCCATTGCCACCCACACCCTCATCTCTACCAAAAAGAAGTACCAGTTCGTGCGCATCAAGGAGATGCTCTCCCATGCGCTGGGCGGCGCTCGTGGTGGCGGTCTCTTCTCGACTGGCGATAGTAATCCTCCCGCTACTGATGTTCATCTCTTCACCCCTGTAGAGGAGATACCTATGTCCTTCCCGGAGCCGGCTACTGTCGCAACTGACAATGTAGGCGATACTGCCGCTCAGTCTTCGGTGCAGGCCTCGAAGAACACGCCCGTTGTGACTAACGCTTGAAGCTTCCTTGGGCTTTGCATTGGACCTGGGCTATGATTGATGACCTGTTCTTTTCTTTCTTCCTTCATTTCTTTTTTCTCTTTATCTTCCCTTCTTTGTTTCTTCTTTCCTTCCATCTTTCTTTCGCTTTCTACACACCTTCACATCAGTCGCGCAATTGGAGCGGGCTCGCAGAGATGGCGTTGGTTGCATGGTTGTTCTACAGCAATGATATGATACCCCGGTGGATTCGGTAGCCATCTTTTTAAATGCAAATCGTGTCTATAATCGTTGTACATGAATATAAGATCGAAGTTGTAGGGAGTGGTCCGTATAGTTACAGACAAGGTACATGATGACTAAGAATCGACGGGCGAACCTGGCCGATCCCCGGCGTCGCTTGGCCTCATCCCGCCATATCTTTACTCTTCATTTTGTCTTGACTTGATCTCTCCATTACCCTTACAATATTACTGTTCGACTCGGTTAGACTCTTGACAGTCTCTCATTACACTACTTTCACCCCACCTGTCGCGCAGTTCCCCGACAGCCACCCGCTCACAGCTCCTGCGCCTGCGGGCCAGAGAGCTCTGTCAAAACTCTCTTCTATCGAACGAACCCTTGATCGACCTATCTATTCATTCGAACCGACCGTACTACCCCACCGAGCGCACTTCCTTCCTATATCAAGATCGCAATGAGCAACTCAGTCCCAGACCTCGATGCCGTCGGCATGAAAGCGGAGCCAGAACTGGCGGAACAGTTCCGGCACGAAGTGGCGCATCTTCTCGGACGCAGCAACCCCAACTTCCCCGGCGCGCAACCCGTCAGCTTCTCGTCCAAGCACTTGATGGAGCTCCAGCGCGAAGACTACTACGTGTGCGAAAAGACCGACGGCATCCGCTGCCTCATGTACTTCGCGCGCGGCGAATCCCCCGAAGCCCCCGAGATCCACTACCTCATCGATCGCAAAAACGACTACCGCTACGTGCCCGGCCTGCACTTTCCCCTCCCCAACGACGACACCTTCCAGTCCTTCCACGTTGACACCCTCGTCGACGGCGAGCTCGTCAACGACACCTACGAGGACGGCACGCAACAGCTCAAGTTCCTCGTCTTCGACTGCCTCGTGCTCGACGGACAGAGCCTCATGCACCGCACGCTCGACAAGCGTCTCGCATACTTCAAAGAGAAGGTCCTCAAACCCTACAACGCGCTCTACGAGCGCTTCCCCGAGGAAAAGGAACACCGCGCCTTCACAGTCGAAGACAAGTCCACGCAGTTCAGCTACGGCATCGAGATGATGTTCCGCGAGATCATCCCCAAAGTCAAGAAAATCCACGGCAACGACGGCCTCATCTTCACCTGCCGCAGCACCCCCTACCGCATCGGCACAGACGAGCACATCCTCAAGTGGAAGCCCCCCTCCGAGAACACCATCGACTTCCGCCTGCGCCTCGAGTTCCCGCTCCTCGAGCCCGACTCCGACGACGAGGCCGACGGCGTCTCCGCCCCTTACCCGGACTACGACGCCATCCCCATCTTCCACCTCTTCGTCATGCTCAACGGAAACGAGTACCGCCACTGGGCGGAGATGTACGTCACACCCGCTGAATGGGAAGACCTCAAGGCCCTCGGCCAGCCCCTCGATGACTCCATCGTCGAGTGCTCCAAGGACCCCCAGGGTCGCTGGCGCTTCCACCGTATCCGCGACGACAAGGCCGACGCGAACCATATCTCGACCGTGGAGAAAGTCCTCGAGAGTATCGAGGACCGCGTTACCGAGGATGACCTCATCCGTCTTGCACCGATTATTAAGAACGCTTGGAAAAAGCGCCAGGCTGGTGGTGGTGGTGAGGGACGGTCACGATCGCATGTCAACGGAACGATTTGATAGATTTGAAAAATGGGGGAAAAACTGACAAAAAAAAAAAAGGACGGTGCTGGGGGTAGACTTGGTTTCTTTCTCTCTTCTTTTCTTCTTTCCTTTCTTTCTGCGTATCTATAATATTATACTATACTAGACTTTTGCAAGGCGTCAGGCGTTTTCACATGGGTGGTGGGTCCGTGAGTTTCGGACTTTATTTATGGACTGGAGAGTTACTACTGCCTTTGCTACCTAGCTACTTACATATTTGAATTTGTACGATTTGCTGTACTTCTTGTTTAATTTCGAGCCAGTAGGTAGACTACGTAGTAACTAGGTATACAATGACCAATCTAGCTATCCAGCGATCTTGTACAGAGTGGTGGTACTGGTGAATATCTATGAAGAGCAATCCCAATATTGCATGATTTTGCTGGTATAACGAATAGAAAGGTAAAATTGACATACATAACACAACACACAAATAGAGACAAAATCATACAGTTGCTTCAATACAAAAATATTGATTGGTGGATGATTTATCGCTTCTTGATACTCACGTCGATTTGGCCCACTGCCCAGGCGGCTATGAAGGTCGCTAGGAGTCCTGCTGTGATGGTTGCGGGCTTGCGTAGGCTGTCCCAGAGGGTGTATTCGTATGTTATCTATCGAATGCTTGCGTTAGTATTCTATTGTGATGCTCTATCGTGATGGGGCGTGTGGGAAGGGGAGAATTGGGGGGGGGGAAGGACGAGGGGTGAACCCACCACAAGCTGCGAGTCCCGCGCTTCGTCAGTCAGATCTTCGGCCGTCAGGGTCAGGACCGTGCGGCCCAGGGTGTCCATGTAGGTCTTCAGAGGGGACACCTCGGCGGCGATCTGGTGCGGGGCCGGGAGACCGTTGCTGGTCGACTGGTCGAGGGTCTCATAGCGGACGTTGTGGGCGCCCTCGGGCAGGATGACGCGCACGACGACCTGGTCGTACTGCACGCCTTCGGGCACTTTCGGGCCCTCGAGGAAGGGCACCTTGAGCACGTAGGTGTCGGCTGCGGGGCCCTGGCGGAGGAAGCTGGCGAGTTTGTTGTTCCAGCCGATGCGGAAGCTGTAGTTCCAGCCGCCGAAGATCGGGAAGCGCGGGCGCAGCTCCAGAGAGGCGTCGCGGCGGGCCTTCCCTGGGCGGTAGCGGCTGGTCGAGACGTTACCGATGTCGTCGGTGAAGTAGGGGTCGACGGAGCCGGGCTTCAATGGGAAGGTGAGTTCGCGGATTGCGGACGAAGGCTGCTGCTGGAAGCTGCTGATGGTCCATTCAACGCGGGAAAACTGGTTCACCAGGTGAGAGCCGTTGTTGCGCAGCCAGTAGCGCTCCTCGGTGGCCAGGTTGCCGCCCCAGTGTGACACCTCGAGGTCACGCTCCAGTAGCGACGCGGTGATGACGGGCTTGGTGAACTCGTAGCGCACGCTGACTGGGTACGCAGTGCCCGGGGCCACCTTGGCCGTGTCGTAGGGTCCGTAGGTATAGGTGGTGCCTTGGCGCTCGGGGTCGGCGCCGGACTTTAGGCCCTCCGTGGTGGTGTAGTCGGGCACATTAGTGGTGGGGAGCTTCAGCTTGGTCTTCTGGGTCACCGTTTGGTAGGCTGAGGGGGCGTAGGCGGAGAACTCATAGTTGAGAAATTGCTTGTCGGACTGCTGGATGGCTGCGGGACGGGGGGTGAGTGCGGAGAGGATGGTGTAGGAGATGCCGAGGGTGATCTCCGCCTTGGGAGCTAGCGGCTGAGGAAAGTTGACAACATAGTAATGGACATCGCTGGATTGGAGTCAGAGTCAGCCTCATTCTCACTTTATTTCCCCCAATCGGACAGTAGCAACCATCGCGCCAGTCGGACGACCGGCATGGCGCATTCGCACTGCATTCTTACCTCGAAGAGCTGCCGACCTTGACGGCCTCTACTTCAAACCGACCAGCATCGGGGGCCTTCTTGTCGCGCACCTCCAGCGCTCCGACGTGGTTGAAGACGTCGGCCGGGAAGGGGAGATAGTACTCGGACTGCGGCTGTTTATCGACGTTCTGGACGACCACGTTGACGGCCTCGCGGACATAGCCCTTGTCCAAATTGGTTGTTCTAATTAAGTTGAGGTTCTTAAAGACGGCAGGAGGCTGGAATTCGGACGACAGCACCGTTTGCACCGTGGGGATGGCGGCGACGGTGGGAGCGGAGAGGATAAAGCTGCCCAGAGCAGCAGCCACGGCGGTCCACGGCCTCATGGTGGGAATAATAGCCCGCACCAGAGATAGATTAATTCCCAAATAGATCACTCTCACCAGGAGAGGACAAATCCACTAGAGAGGAGAGAAGAAAAGGGAAAATGAAGCAATTGGAATGCGACGGGAGGATGATGAAGAGAGGGCGAGTTGAACACTTGATATGCTGAGGTGTCCCGATATGCGGCCTCTATAATGCACCAAACACTATGCCGAATCGGGCATAGTCACCGTTTGCCAGTTGGCGGCTTATCGATAAGCCCACGCAATTCTTCTCCGCTTTCTCCGCTTTCTCTCCTCTTCTTCATTCCTCTCCTCATCTCCCCATCTCCCATTCTCACCTCTCATTCATCATCCTCCATTCTGATCTCTCTTTCTCCAGTATCACTGCTACTTCCTGTTCTCCCGTATCTCCCCTGGATACTCCTCATGTTCTCTCTCCGGGCCGCTCGGCGGTTCCCCAAAAGGATCCCTCTTGGTGCCCCACGACGCCTTCATGGCTTGGCCCAGAGCAAGTTCTTCAACGTCTCAGAGGAAGTTCGCGATGCGGTGGCGGTAGGGAAACCGGTCGTAGCTTTAGAATCGACCATATATACCCACGGTATGCCTTCACCCCCATCCCTAGTTCTCGTGAATCTGGTTGACAGCCTCAGGCTTCCCCTACCCCGAGAGTGTCGCGTTGGCAAATTTACTGGAGTCGGTGGTTCGAGCCAATGGCGGCGTTCCGGCTACGATCGGTATTCTAGACGGAGTCGCGCGCGTGGGGTTAAGTGCGGAGGAGCTCATCCGGCTGGCATCCACGGCGGAGCACAAGTCCGCCCTGAAAGTCTCCCGCAGAGACCTAGGCTATATCTGTGGCCTGGTCAGTGCTACCCCGGTTCAACATATACAGTGCCACTCCGGTGCAACATGTACAATGCCAATGTTAACGTTGGATCTAGGGCTTGACGGGCAAACGTCTCCAGGGCGGAACGACCGTCTCGGGAACCATGATTCTGGCGCATTTGGCTGGAATTAAGATCTTTGGTACCGGTGGTCTTGGTGCGTGGCTTTTCCTTTCGCGTCCAATTCCCAGCTAACTGGCCTTCTAGGGGGCGTCCACCGTGGTGGAGAGAGTTCAATGGATATTTCCGGTACGGGTACCTTCTAGATACTTTCTAAAACCACACTGACTCCCAGCAGCCGATCTCACAGAGTTGGGACGGACCCCCGTCGCGGTGGTTAGCTCCGGCTGCAAGAGCTTCCTGGACATCCCGCGCACCCTCGAGTACCTTGAGACCGAGGGTGTCTGCGTAGGAACGTTCGCCGATGGTCGTGAAGGTGCCGTCGAGTTTCCCGCATTCTTCACCCGAGAAAGTGGGTTGAAGAGCCCCAAGACTATCCAGAACGAAGCAGAGGCAGCTGCTATTGTTTGTTAGTGACACTTATTCCATTGGGTTGTCTACATGCAAGCTAATGTGACGCAGACGCCCAATCGCAACTCCCAGTGGCATCGGGTATCCTCCTTGCCAATCCGGTACCCGTAGAACATTCGGTTCCCAAAGACGAGATGGATGCCATCATTGTAGAAGCTCTCCGTCTGGCCGATGTGGAAGGCTACCAGGGAAGCGACAACACTCCCTTCGTGCTAGGCAAGATCAAGGAACTCAGTGGAAGCAAAAGCGTGGCGGCCAACCGCGCTCTAGTCGAGGCTAACGTGGAACGCGCGACTCGTGTGGCCGTGGAGCTGTCGAAGCTGGAACAGGCCGACGGAACGCGGAATGAACGGTGAGTGACTTCCCTCTCTGATCTGGACCCAGCCTATCCCTAATCTCGAGAGCCACCGTGCAGGCATATGCCAGTGCTGCCAGAAACCCCCCAAGCTGACCAGGCACCTCCAGAGGCAGAGTCGCGGTCTAATACGACCGCCCAAGTCTCCCCAGCACAATCGCCCCAAGCCGACGTGCTTGTAGCGGGGTCCCTCGCCATCGACCTGTCCTGTGACTACGCGCCTCTAGCCGGTGAAACCAGCACGACGCCCTCATCGCACACATCGAACCCTGCAGTGATCACGCAAAGCCTGGGCGGCGTGGGCTACAACGTCGCCATCGCATCGCACTACCTAGGCCGCTCTGTACTCTTCTGCAGCGTCATCGGTGACGACCTAAGCGGCCGGGCTGCCCTGTCCGCGTTGCAAAAGGAACAGCTGCCCACGACTGGCATCCGCGCGCTACCACCGTCATCAGGTGCCCGCACAGCGCAATACATCGCAGTCAACGACGCCAGGAAGGATCTCGTGGTCGCCATGGCCGACATGGGCATCATGGAGCAGCCCGAGCAGGCTCTCGACTTCGACACGTTCTGGGAGCCCATGGTAGCACAAGCCAAGCCGCAATGGGTCGTCGTCGACGCCAACTGGAGCCCCGCGGTGCTCGCCAAATGGGTGCAGGTCGCCAAAGCGCACGGCGCGCGCGTGGCCTTCGAGCCCGTCTCCAATGCCAAATCGCGCCGTCTCTTCGGCGCCGCCGCCGCCATCAAGCCCACGGACACCGTTCCCAACCACGCCGTCGGCCTTGCCGCGCCCAACCAGTTCGAGCTGACGGCCATGTACGCCGCCGCGCGCGAGAACGGGCTCTTCGAGTCAGACAACTGGTGGCACGTTATCGACGCCATGGGCATGTCGGCAGCGGGGTCGCGCGACCGGCTCGTGGCCATGACCTCGGCGGCGCTAGTCGACCAGGGCATCCCGCAGCAGAGCATCCAGCTGCTGCCTTTCATCCCGTGTCTGATCACCAAGCTGGGCGCACAGGGCGTGCTGGTCACGCAGCTTCTCCGGCCGGGGGATCGGCGACTGACCGCGCCAGAGTCCGCGCCGTACATCGTGTGCCGCTCACTGTCGGAGACGTCGCCTATCGGGGGTGTGTATCTGCGTCTGTTCCCGCCCGCGGCGCTGCTGTCGGACGAAGACATCGTCAGTGTCAACGGCGCGGGTGACACGCTGCTGGGCGCGGTGGTGGCCGGGCTGTCGGGGGATGTCGCGCGGACGGTCGAGGAGGTGATCCCGCAGGCGCAGGAGGCGAGTGTGCGGACGCTGCGGAGTGCTGGGGGGGTGAGCCGGGAGATTAAAGGTTTACAACTGTAGCATTTTATTATTGAGTTGATTAATGATTTTGAATTGAATCTATACCCAGTTTATTATGTTCATCGAGATCTATAGATATCTAACCATTATAACTAGAATCAACTCGCCCTCACACATACCTTTATCCATCCCCTACCCGTTGTTCTCTATCTCACACCCAACCCCTCCAACTCCAACTACCACATCCAACTACTCCTCCAACATCCTCTCCACCCCCTCCACCCCAACAACAGGCAACCTCTCCACCCCTTCCGAGCCGCGCCTATTCTTCCCCGTCGCCCTGAACCCCCCGGGAACAAGCATCGGATCCAAAAGTCCCACCTGCACAAGCACCCCCGCCTGATCCCAATAAACCCCTAACCTTGCCATCCGCCCGCCCACAAAGCTACCCGTCATAACCAGCAGCACGCGCACGTCCTTCCCCGTCGGCGGCACACCAGGCAGCATCCAGGGGATTTCCTCCGTGTGCGTGAATGTGAGCAGCAGCTCGTCGACAACGCGGTCGACGCCTACTGTGCGGGAGAGGAGGCGCATTTTCTGGCTGGGTGGGCCTGCAGGGAAGAATTCGGAGGCGTAGAAGGAGGCGACTGTTGTGGTCTTGGACCCGCCGAGCATTGTGGGCGAGCACTCTATGTGTGGGTCTAGGTCGAGGAGGTTGGGTTCCATGTTGTTGGCTGTTGTTGTGAGGGGGGGAGGGGGGGAGCTTGTTGAGCTGAGGCGGGGTTTTGGGAGGGGGGTCGAAGTGTCCATGTCGGCGTCGGTGTCGGGTTCGTTGGTGAGGGCTAGGTTGATGGGGCTGTCTGTGTTTGTCGAGGGGTCCTGGCCGCGTGGTGTCTCTTGCAGCTTGCGCCAGTACTGTTCCCAGAGGTCTTCGATGTCGGGAGTCGCCCAGGTGCCGCCGGGCCAGCCGAAGCCGCGCTTGAGGCACTCGAGGGAACGGGTCCATGCGAGACGGGCGCTGATGGCGTCGTAGGATGAGGACAGGGAACCCTTGGAGGAAGTCGGCTCAGCAAACCCTGCCTCTGACTCCGGGTAGAAGAACAGGTGGCAGCGGTGGCGCTTCTTGAGCGGGTGCGTGCTGTAGTCGTCCCAGAGGGAGGGCTTCTGCTGGCCTGGGAGGTGGATCTGGATCGGGAGGAGAGAGAGCATGTCGTACGACGAGGCCGTCGCTGTGGAGGTTGTCGAGGCTGGGAAGACGGTGGGCGGCGGCGACGATGCGTTTGTTTGGTAGGGACATAGCCAGTCTTGTTGGCCGGTGGGGATGTCCGGGTAGTAGGTTACTAGGGCGCAGAGGCGTGGGAAGGGGTTTGTGGATGTTGTGGATTGGTGGTGGGAGCAGAGGAGGTGGTAGGCGGGGCGGTTGTATGCTATCATGTCAAGATTAGCCCTATCTCTCTATAATCTACATGTATGTATGCGGGGGGATACACACCAACAACAGCGAACTTCTCCCCCGGCTCTAGATCATCCTCCCGTTCATTCAACAACCGCTCTAGTTCCTTGCGGTTCTTCTCCGGGCTCTCACTGGTATCGACGAAAGGCAGATACTCGACTTTGAAGCCCTCCGCCCGGAAGCGGTGCAGGATGCGCGCGTCGAAGTCCTCCGAGCTGGAGGTGACATACAGACGGCGCACGGGAGGCTGATGCACGGAGGTTTGGGTGCTTCTTCTGCGCCTGTCGGCGGGGTTTAGCGTAGGTGATTTGGATAGTGGCCGGTTAGAGCTGTTGCTGGTGGAGCTGCTGCGGCGCCGAAAGCGCTCTCGGAGACGATTCATTGCGAGGGCATTGATTGGGGTTCAATGTAGGGGGGAAATAAAGGAAGTGTAGGATGTGAAGGAAAGTATAAGAAGAATGAAAGGCAGTTGGGGAAGAGGAACAATAAAGATATAAGACCAGAGTTTGAAGGGTGCCCTACGGTAAGGCTGGGTAAGGCTGGGCTGACGTCGACGAGTGCTCCGCCCAGCGGCCCCGTCCCGCCGCCTTCCGGGACGGTCTTACGATTACAACCATGCCAAGTGCCAAGGAGTCCGCCAAGGAGTCCGCCAAGGGAGCGGAAATCTGGTTGTCATGGGTTGACGCGCTGGTTTATATGCATGGACCCCATTATGATGTATCTTATGCTGTATATCCCCTCCCGCCAAGTGCCAAGGGCTCTGCCAAGGGAGCGGAAGCCCAGTTGTCTTAAATTGATGCGCTGATCTATATGCATGGACCCCATTATGATGTATCGTATGCTGTATATCCCCTCCCGCCAAGTCTTAAAACTCCGTCAACCACCGGCGCCAACGCTGCACCTTCTCCCCTACCCCCTCATCGGCATCTGCATCCACGTTCAGATAACACACGTATCCCGGCCGCCGTAAACTCTGTCGGGCCACCTCGCAGTCCACCCGGATGTCCTCCACCAGCGCCTCCACGGATACGTAATCGTATTCCGGCCGGATGTATCCCAAAATCAGCAGGCGCAGCGGCGTACCGTAGAAATCAGGCAACTTGTGGAAATGCGTGGGGCCGGAATCGACCTGCGCCGTGGGTGAGGGCTCCGTCAGGCGTGGCATGATGTGGATTTCCTATTTGAATTAGTTTCTCTTTCTCTTTCTCTTATCCTTTTTCCCGAGAAAAACAAAAGAACAAAAAAGGAAGGGACATACAATCGACTTCATCTTATTTTTATAAAAAGGATTATACCCAATACTCAACACAGCCGGCAAAACCGTCGCCGAGGCATTTTCCCCCTCGTAGGAAAACTGGCGCGGATCGAGCGCTACCACGCCGTAGTATACTCCGACGTCGAGATCGGGATACTCGGATAACCCGTCTGCGGGAATATTCGCTGTCGGAATGCCAAGCTGATGATCGCATAGCCATGGCCCGTTAGCTCTCAGCTGGTGATGGGGATCTGGGCTGGTCAATGGATGACCTATCCTTTCTTTTCTCTTTTCTTTTCCATTTTCTTTTCTCTTTCTTGATTGCTTTTTGGTTTTGCGAGGGCAGGGACAGAGCACGGGGTATGTAGACTAACCTCTTTACTGCCCCGCCCGAATCCTTTGATGACGGGCCCCGAGAGCTGGATGGGATAGGGTGCCTCTGGCCCGCTGTCGGGGCCGGCGACGGGGTCGCGAGGACGGTCTGGTCGCATTTCAATGGAGTAGGGAGTGTATCGAGGGGAATGGACAGAGATGGGGTGGATTTAGATGATAATGAGGGGATGGAAAGGAAAGTCGGGGATCGAACGCGGCAGAAAACGGCACTATCGATAAGCGTGGGGCCCTGATTGGATGGGGCTCCACCGGCCATGAGGTACATCGTTTCTCATTGTAATTAGTAGGAACGGCGAGGTACCTTGAGCAATCCCATGATGTACAATATTTTGATATTTCTATTAATCTACAAGATGTGCACATATCTAGTATGGGTAAGAGCCAACACTATCAAGTACAAGTGCCCCTCTCAACAGCACACGAACAGTCCAGTGCTACGTCACTGATATTGACACTGGTGGATATCCCTATCAACAAGACAGCTGGTAGCTTTCTAGCGGTGGGCGAATCGGCTGTGCTTGCGGATTCGGCTGCCGTAGCGGAAGAACAGGTACCTGCAATTGCATCGTGAGCGGGATTCATCGTATACCAATGTGGGTGATGGAACCACAAAAGCATTAATGCAAGGAACTTACGGAAACGGCACCATGACAAGCGTCAGGAAAGCCAATAGCGAAGTCGCCCAATGATATCCAAGATTGTTGTACACTGCAGATGCCATTAGCACATACGCTCCTCAGTTGGGTCAGACATATCCTACTTTGAATTCCAAACAGCGGAAACACTCCAGCAAAGCTCGACCGAGCGAAACTGTTCGCTGCCAGGGCGCTCGCTGCATAGAGTGGATACGCATCTACCAAAAATGTGAAGATCCCCGAGTACACGAGAATTGTGCTGGTGTTCCATAGGTCAGCTTTTGTCATTCGTCTCTCTTGTGCATGTGTCTTACCCAGCTCCGAAGAAGACGCTGCCGATGATCGGCACGATCCAGTGGACGTGTGAATAGATCGTCCAGGCGAACATAAACAAACCGATGGTGACCAGGGGTCCACCGAGGATAGCTAGGGAAGAGCGTGCGTCAGTATGATTCTGCTCTGCACATCTGGCAAAATGACTGAACGCACCAGGAGGAAGCCGCCACTCCGGCTGGTATTTTTCCGTCCTGCCCACATCTTTCTCATGTTCAGCTTCCAAACGGGCATAGACGCGACGCCAGAACGGATCCGACGAGATGGCGAAGACCATGCCCACGAACAGACCGAGGAAACAGAGTCCGCGCTGCCACAGCTCGAAGTTGTACACGTTGCCAAAGACCAGTTGGAAGGCACCGAAAAATAGATAGAGAATTCCTAACAGGATAGCCGAAAACAGACAGAGGTTCAAGCACATGGGTTCCAGGATCAGAAGCAGCATGGGTCGGTAGGTCGATCGCAGCACTGTTCGTGCCACGGATCGATGGAGTCTCTCGATCGGTGCTTGCCACCGTTCGTCCCCTGTCTCCTTGCGACGTCTCTGCGCCTTGCGTCTGAGGAGTCTAGATGGTGGTGTTAGAAGTCTACTTACAATCGTCACTAGGGTTTATCACTCACACAGGATGATACGTCTCGGGGACGAAGACAATGATCGAGACGAACAGAGCGCCCGTCCAAATGAGAAGCACGTAGAAGGTCCAGCGCCTAAACCACGTAGTAATTAGTACTGCTAGCCATGTTCACTCGCTACTCATCCATAGACCCACTTACCATCCCGTAAATTGGTTGATAAAACCACCGACCCTAGAACATGTATTAGTCACTGCAAAGCCACAGTATTTCAGATATAGACCATATGGAAACATACAGCGGTCCAACCTCAGGCCCAACAAACGGAGAAGCCGTGTAAATCATCATGGGCGCACTGAGTTCATGGCGAGCAAAGAGATCACCAACAGTACCACCCGCAACACTAAGAAAGGCACTCCCAGAGATCCCATTGAAGAAACGTGCTATGATCATCGTTTGGGTATTATGAGCCGCAGCGCACGGAATCAACCAAATCAAGAAAAAGGCGAAGGAGATGATGTAAATATTCCGTCGGCCATAGAACTTGAGATGACTATATTAGGGACACTCTCCTATCGTCTTTTGGGAGGTGAAGTGCTTACCTCTGAGAGGGGCGCCAAAAACAGCGGTCCAAGACCTGCATGTGTTTATATTAGCTCGAGCAGCGAGTACACTAGATCGATAAGCAAGCTCACCAAGTCCCCAAATAAAAAACGACAATCCCAACGTCGCGACCAACCGGGAACAGTGAAACTCCTCCGTAAGCTGGTCGTAGGTCATAGTATACATCGAAGACGTACACGTCCTGCACACCATCAGACACCAATTTTAGAAAAAGCCTGGACTATTGACCGACTTACACACAGAGAGACCCCAACGAGCAAATGATCACAATCAACCACCGTCTCGGCTTGCTAAAATTCCGCGGACAGCTCGGATCATTCTCATCCCAATCGACCGTAAAATCAGCCGCCAAAGCATCTACAGCCTCTTCCTCATCCGGAGACTTCTCGCTAGCCCGTTCATCGCCCGTGTTGCAGCTATACCCATCATTCAGCGACCAGCTGCGCTCCAGCGGTTGCGACGACGCGGAGTGGGGCCTCTGCATTCGGTCTTCATGGGTGGCGTGCGGAGTACTGATGGGTTCGAAGGCTGCGTCGCCCTCTCCTCCATCTGGGGAATCGATTCGCGTGCTGTCTTCGGAGTCGCTTTTTGAGTCGCTGGTGGATTGGTTGTCTGCTGGCACGGGCATGTCCGCTGGGGTGGGTAAAGCTTGTCCCGGCGGGGGCGAGGCGTGCGGAGCTGCGGACATGGTGGACTAGACTCGACAGACTCGAACGGTGCTCTGTTCCAGGAGGGATTTCCTTCCCCCTACTTCCGTGGAATTTGCCAGATGTTTTCAGATTAAATTGAGTATATGAGACGTTGAATTAGGATCATGAACGATCGTCCCGCAGTGCGCCCCGTAGCACCTCGGAGTTAACGGGGGTTCCGGATTCCAGCCAAAGCTTAACCAGTCTAGTCAAGCGCGGAGCTATAAGACTAGAACTCAGCGACTACTTGCGAAATCAGTGATCAGCATGAGAAGAGAGAAAGAAATAGGGGAGGGGTAGTGACAGCTCGGACCCATTAATCATACATAGTACGAGCAAGACTCGGCATCTGAGCAGCCCGACAGCCGATAAGTTGGTCCAGACGTTGGAGTCTACCTTTAGTCATAGTGACCCCGAATCCTTTAACTTAGTTAGTGGATGGACCCGAATAAACCGGTTCAGCTAGCTTTTAGCTCAACCAGACATCATTCCTGTTGGAGATATGGAGAGGTGGACTAGCTGAGTTCCGTGTCATTCATGCATGATTCATGTGGGAAAGAAAATTCCCGGAATGGCGTCACCCACGTGGGAACCTTACTTGCGTTAATTCTGACAATGATTTACTTCTATACTATACTTTTATATACTTCGGTATGATATGTCAATCCACTCATCGATTCCATTATTCACGTCTATAGTACTGACTACCGAGGTAGTGCCTACCCAAGTAATGAAGCTAACTAAGTCCATCCCCCATATTCCTCCTATCACGATCCACCGAAAGAGAAACAATGAAGGAAATCAATCCCAAACAACCAAGATAGCAGCTGAGCCACCAGGTTTTCGTTGCAAAGCCCTAAACAAGTCACCCAAACACCGGGAATTTGAAACAAAAGATAAATGACCCGCATCCCAGATACAACGAAAGCAAACGACGGCATACAAGCCAAAGGAAGAAAAGAAGGACAAGACAACAGAGGGGGGAAACATAAAATCAAACATCTGTACAGGAAGAAAATGCCGTCACCATCTACACCACCTGGGTCGACTCGTTCTCGCCGCTGCCAGTCTCCTCGGCCCAGGCGCCCCAGAGAGCACGCTTGCCGCGGATCTTGAGCGGGCCGCCGACCTTGTCCGGACGCTGGTCCACCTGGACGGCATCCTTGGTCGCCAACACCAGAACCTCGAAGAACATCTTGGTGGCATCCGCCTTGGACGCCTTTTGCTCGGGGAGGATGTCCTGGAACTTAACGCTCTTCTTCTGGTCCGCCGCGGATTCTCCCAGGCGGTCCCGCAGCACGTGCACGGCATGCTTGGTGCCCAGGGAGACCGGGCCGCTGTCTGCCGGTTGGATGGTGTCGTCGAAGGATTCCCCGGCGTGGTCCATGGCGTCGTCGTCGCTCAGATGCAGTTCCCGGTCCTCCTCGTTTCCGGGGAACTCAATCTCCGACCGCGGGTGCAGCGTCGAGTCCATGCCGACACCCTCGTCCACCGGGACGAGAGCCTCTTCATCGCCCAGGTCCAGGGCGGGAGCGTTGGCCGCCTGGATGTCCATGTCTGCGATCCCGCTGTCCCGCTTCCGCTTCAGCTCGCCGGCCTGCTTGACGGCGTCGAAGGACAGCAGATCGCGCAGCTCGGGGGCCCAGCCACGGCCACGGCCACCACCGAGCACGTTCGACACGAAGTCGCCATTCTTCTGCATGTTCATCAGGGTGAGGAGAACGGGGTCCCGGGGCAAGAAGGATGCCGGTTTCAGGATGCTGGTGCGATCGGCCTGCAGCTCCTTCATCTCGCTGCGGTTGTAGTCGGTGTGCTCGTCCAGGCCCATGAGGACCACCTTCCGTCGTTTGGCGCGTTGCGCTTCCTGGGCGACAACCTCCTCGTCATCCTCCTCTTCCATTTCGTCCTCGCGAACGTCCTCGTCGTCCTGGCCCTGGCGCGCAACCTCCCGCTCCATGTTCGTCATCTCCTCCTCGGGCATTTCGGTCATAACACTCTCGTCGTCGCCGTCGGAGTGGTGGTCCAGCCCGTCAAGCATCGGCTCCGCATCCATTCCGAGATCCATCGCATCGTCCAGCAATGGGTTGTCTTGCAGGCCATCGGTGCCGAGGTCCATCTTGAGGGGGGCATCGTCCTCGCCCAGGTCCAGCGGCAGGTCGACGTCGTTGAATTTGCCCGCGTCACTGAACAGATCCTCTTCGACGGGGCGGGGAGCCGGCGCATCTCGACCCATTTCCATGCTGTAGTCAACGGCCAGGGGGGTATCATCCTCTCCGATATCGATGTCGACCAGAGTGTGATCTTCGAGGCGCGCGGGTTCCTGCGAGGCCGAACGGCGAAGGCCCGAGTCGGGCAGCAGCTGACTACCGAAATCCATCGACGAGCCTGGTCGCTTTCCCTCGGGTTCTAGGTTGAGAGACTGCGGCAACAGCAGGGACGAATCCAGGTTCATGAACAAATCGGACTCAGTCAGCACGTCGGGAAGGGTGATGCCACCCGGGGCCACCACGGTGGTGGCCAGATCGTTGTTATTCGTCAAGCGGAACGCCTGGGCCCGAGTTAGCAAGTGATTCGATTCCACAGCTCCGCGATTGTACTCCTCACCATTTTGATCTTCATCAGCGCTTCATTGCAGTCGTCCAGGAGGTAGCGCGCCTTGCGGCTGTAGATCCGCACGACACCCAGAAGCAGCTGGCCACTCAGTCGCAGGGCCATCGGGGCCTGTCCCTGGTCAACGATGGCGCTGACACTCCCTTCAATATCAGACTGCAGGATATGCGACTTGGACAGTTTGCGCTCCAGGTTGGCTGACAACCAGACGCGGGCCAAGGGGCCCGTCTTGGACAGCAAGGTCTCGGAATAGAACATGGTGATGAGTTAGGTCTCGGTCGACCAAGAACACTCCCATCCAACAAAATCAATCCAAAAGAACCCGCCCAACGCGGGGTGTTCTGGGGGGGTCGGTGGAGGAGTCCCTAGCAACGCCGGTGTGATGACGCGCCGGATGCCGACAACAGAAAGAGGGATCGCCGACAGGACCCTCTTTGATGATGACGGCTAATGCGTCAAGCGATCACGAACCCCAAAAAAATAAAACACCCACAAGTCGCGTAGCTGAAGGTGAAGAAGAAGCGAATTCGATAAGGACCCACCAAAAATCGCGAGGGTTTGGGTGGACACGGAGGGACAGGAGAAGCCAAGCGAGAGGGGTTGTTGTTGGTGGTAAATGGGGTGGTTGGCTGGGAGAGAGTTTGGGAAGTGGGAGAAGGAGAAGCGGCCGTTGTGGTGGTGAGTGAAAGAGAACCTGAGAACCTCAGGTTTCAAGACAGAATGCAGCGCGTCTGACCATACCGTACGGTATGGTAAAGAATGGTTGCCAGGTTGCCCAGGCGGACCAGCCTCCCGCGTGACTGTCTGGCTGTGATTGGTCTGTTATGTGGTGGCTGGGGTCACGTGTGGTATACACGCTAGACCCAATGCGAACAGTTCGGACTAACATGCATCCCGATGCTAGTCTCTATAGGGACTAGTGTTCCCCGGCCAGGCAGCGAGGCAGCAAGGCTGCTTGAGGTCAGGCTGTCAAGATTGGGAACTTCGATCTATAGAACATCCAACATCCAACGTCCGTCTCCTGTTTAGCTCTCTCCATCTTTCTGTCTTGAGATTGATCGCTCCTCTACTGCATTGCTGCTTCTTTTCGTCTTTAGAGGACTCCCTCCTTGCATCGTCCGCCTCAGAAGCTCCGCTTGTTTACTGCGGCTAATTACGGACAGTCTTGCCGCCTTCCAGACCCTGGGCCAGAGTCCACGTCTTCTTAGTCTCCCTCTTCCCTGCACTCTTATTTGATGCATCTGCAGCCTGGTCGCATCTGAGAACGTGGCGTCTCGCAATCTCACTTTGCCCGGATCTTTGATTTTTCCTTGGGGCTGGATTTGATTCGATTGTGTTGCCTGGTTCTTTTTCTTTTTTCGCTCTCTCCCTCCCTCCCCCTCCTACCTGGATTGCGCTTTTTCGAGCTCGACAAAAGCTTCTTCGCATTCGAGACCCACTCCAGTTTGACGGGATGATACCGGGTGGTGTCTGAATTGGCAGACTGATTCCCTTTCGGCAAAGCATGAGAGATGTCAAGATCCGCAACGCCTGCGCTCCCTTTGCATAATGCTCAGGCTTCCCCAAGACCGCGTTCGACCACTCCCGCCGGACTGGCGAGCTCGTTGTCTCCGTCAGTAAGTGCGGTCCGGCCTAGTCCCTCTCCGTGTCCTCTTTTACGTGCACTAACCAGGCGGTCACCCCCTGACTAGACTTCCACCTCGACATACTCGCTGCTAGATCCTGAGGAAACCGCCGAGCGCCTTCAAACCTCCCTCCTTCATGGTCTCACCCCGGTCGAGGCGGAGATCCGATACCTACGAGATGGACCCAACGAACTCCCCCACGAAGAACCGGAACCCCTATGGCTTCGCTTTCTCAAACAGTTCCGCGAGTCCCTGATCCTCCTGCTCCTGTCATCCGCCGCCATCTCCTTCTTGATGGGGAACTACGATGATGCCGTCAGCATTACGCTTGCCGTGACGATCGTCGTCACCGTGGGGTTCATCCAGGAGTATCGGTCGGAGAAGTCTTTAGAAGCATTGAGCCGTCTCGTCCCACACCACGCGCATCTGATCCGCGACATTCCTACCCCGGACACGCCCGTGGTAGCCCACCCAACGGCGCCAACCGGCGCCGTTGAGGAGCTGGAAATGCAGGAAGTGGGAAGCCGGAGCCCCGGGGCGGCCTCGGCGGCGCTCAAGGCGGCTTCCACCGTCCCGGCCAATGAACTCGTCGCCGGGGACCTGGTCCTGTTTGCAGTGGGGGACCGGATCCCGGCCGACATCCGGATCACGACGGCCACTGACCTGACGGTCGACGAGTCGAATTTGACGGGTGAGAATGAGCCCGTGGTCAAGTACCCCCATGCGGTGCGGAGCCCGAAGAACCTCGCGGCTCACGAGCCCAAGATCGTTAGCCCGCCTCGCTCGCCGTTCTACGACGCCCCCGCCAGCGGCGCCGTAGGCGCGGATATCCGGTTGAACGAGCAACACAACATCGCGTTTATGGGCACCTTAGTCCGGTCCGGGTATGGACAGGGTATCGTCATCGGGACCGGCGCCAAGACCGAGTTCGGCAGCATTTCAGCCTCGCTGCAGGAGATTGAAAGCCCCCGCACGCCTCTACAGGTGTCCATGGACCGTCTGGGTCAGGAACTGAGCTACGTCTCCTTTGGCGTCATCGCCCTGATCATGGTCATCGGGTTGATCCAGGGCCGACAGATCCTGGACATGTTCACCATCGGGGTGTCCCTCGCCGTCGCTGCGATCCCGGAGGGCCTCCCGATCATCGTGACGGTGACGCTCGCCCTGGGCGTGCTGCGCATGGCCAAGCGCGGGGCGATCATGCGGCGTCTTCCCAGCGTCGAGACGCTGGGCTCGGTCAACGTCGTCTGCAGCGACAAGACGGGGACCCTCACCATGAACCACATGACGGTCACCAAAATGTGGCATTTCGACTGCGCGGATCCGTTTGAAGTCCACCACGACATCAGCTCCTTGACCCCGGGGCCCGCCGCTCGCACGATCCTTCGGGTCGGCAACATCGCGAACAACGCCCGGCTCTCGCGGATCCACGCGAACTCCCCCGCCAGCGCCTCGTCCGCCGCCGTGCTGTCCTCCACGGACGACCGGGCGTCGGGATCCATCCGCAGCCGATGGGTCGGCCAACCCACCGACGTGGCGATTCTGGACCTTCTGGACACCTTCGGGGAGGATGACGTGCGCGATCGGATCTGCGCCCGCGTGGCGGAGACGCCATTCAGCTCGGAACGGAAGTGGATGGGTGTGATTATCGGCAGCGGCACGCCGGGTGACTCGATGTCGCTGGCCTCGCCTGGGGGCACCAACATCGCATACATCAAGGGCGCTCTGGAGCAGGTCTTGAAGCGGTGCGACACGTATCTGACCAAGGACGGGCGCGAAGTCATCCTGGACGAGCCCCGGCGTCAAGCCGTGCGGCACGCCGCCGAGCAGATGGCCTCCGAGGGGCTCCGCGTGCTGGCCTTCGCCAGCGGAGCGGTGCGCGACCTATCACGCGGACGGCCTCTGGGCAGCCGATCGGCCACGCCCCACTCGGCGACCAACCGCAGTGGCAGCGGGAGTGACAACGATGACCAGTACAACGGGCTGGTATTTTCTGGATTGGTGGGGATGAACGACCCGCCACGAAAGGACGTCCACAAGTCCATCCGGCGCCTCATGGCAGGCGGGGTGCGGATCATCATGATCACGGGCGATGCCGAGACGACAGCGGTCGCCATCGCCAAGCAGCTGGGGATGCCGGTCAACGACACGCCGGGGTCGCGGCAGGTGATGAACGGGGAGGACATCGACCGGATGAACACGGAGGAGCTGGCGCAGGCGATCGCGTCGACGGCGATCTTCGCGCGGACAAGTCCAGACCACAAGATGAAGATCGTGCGCGCGCTGCAGGCGCGCGGAGACGTGGTGGCCATGACTGGGGACGGGGTGAACGACGCACCGGCGCTGAAGAAGGCGGATATCGGCATCTCGATGGGCAAGCTGGGCACGGATGTCGCCAAGGAAGCGGCGGACATGATCCTGACGGACGACGACTTTTCGACGATCCTGCGGGCGATCGAGCAGGGCAAGGGCATCTTCTACAACATCCAGAACTTCATCACGTTCCAGCTGAGCACCAGCGTGGCTGCGTTGAGTTTAGTGTTGCTCAGCACGACGCTAGGCTTCAAGAACCCGCTGAACGCGATGCAAATCCTATGGATCAGTACGTAACCACACCACCCCCCATCCAACCAACACCATAGCTAACCCCAACAGACATCCTCATGGACGGCCCCCCCGCCCAATCCCTCGGCGTCGAGCCCGTCGACCCATCAATCATGCACCGACCGCCCCGACCCCGCACCGCACGAGTCCTAACAAAGCCCCTCATCCGGCGCGTCCTCACCTCCGCATTCATGATCATGCTCGGAACCCTCGCAATCTACGTCTACGAAATGGGCGACGTCGACGACGGCGTGACCCCGGGAAAGATGTCCCGGGTAGTCACAGCCCACGACACAACCATGACCTTCACCTGCTTCGTCCTCTTCGACATGTTCAACGCGCTGACATGCCGCAGCGAAGGCAAGTCTGTGCTACGCGGCGAGCTACCACTCTTCGGAAACAAGATGTTCAACTACGCCGTGCTGGGCTCGCTCGCGGGCCAGGCGTGCGTTATCTACCTGCCGTTCTTGCAGAGAGTGTTCCAGACGGAGGCGCTGAATGTCGCGCATCTGTTCAAGTTGGTGTGTATCTCGAGTTCGGTGTTTTGGGTCGACGAGGCGAGGAAGTATTATCGGGTTGTGCAGCGGAGGAGGACTGTGGGTGTTGGGTATAGCATGAACGTTTAGCCTGTGACGTATAATTCCTGTATAGATGGAGGAGAAGAAGAAACGGAGTGCATCAGCGGTTGTATATGAATGTTAATACTGAATAATGGAGACATGTTAGCCATGTACCTTACTTTTTTGGACTGGTCGAGACAATGGATCGATCCTCCCTCCCCGCACACTAAGTAGGTAGTCTCCATTCTTTATGCAGGATTAGTCTAATCTAGACAATGTCATCATATCAGGCCTAGATTGTGTCTGTCATCTTGGGGCCGGACCCAGACCACGGTATAAGCCAGTGTCGGCCCCAATGCCGGTTTCTCGGGGACGCGCCCCACTTACGAGATGGGACCTAGTAGGTAGGTACTGGGTAGTGCATTAGGTATGTGCTAGGTGGCTGATAAGATGGATAGACAGGTGGGTATGGAATCGAGACTAGCTGGGGTGTTGTTATGTGGGGTTGATGAGTATCTGCAGTGGTGGTGGTGGTGTATATCAGGGTAGCGGGGTATAAGTATATATTTCACTGGAGTGTCTATTTAGTATAGGGGAATTGATCCTCTGGTATGTGAATGCCAGACAAGAGTAATAATTCATAAAATGTATGTATGACAAGTGACATCATTGAGCCAGCAAGGGCATGCTCTTCCCTCAGATCATACTGTGCACGTGGTATATATATCCATACTGAATGCGAGGAACTGAATGCGAGGAACTGAATGCGAGGAGAACACTTGGAAGAGTCTGTGGAAGGACCCATGACACTGGTTGATATAGCTAGTCACCTATACGGGTAGGTAGGTACCTAGTAGTAGTATCCGGTAGCTGAGACTAGGAGATATATTGATATCGGTGAAATCTTCCATTAGAGCAGTGGCATATGGGTATGTCAAGGGATTTTGTATTTGTGGAGAGGAGGCATGTGATTGGCTGGTGGGAGATGATAAGGGTCCAAGGGGTGATGGATTTACGTATACATGATGGAGGATGGGTATTTGATTATTACTATAGTTATAAGATAGTTAATGATTTTCTTTTTGAATCACTGATGTAATCTAGTAGTAGTAGTAGTAGTAGTAGTAGTAGTAGTAGTAGTAGTAGTAGTAGCACCTAGAGTAGTAAGAGGTAGGCACCTAAGGTAGGTAGAGATAAGCTCCTAGAAATCCCGAACCAGTCGGGACGGACAGGAAACGACCGGAGGGTGATTGGTTCCCGAGCGGGATCGTTATCAGAGCCTCCCATTGCCGATCGACCATCATGTCTCCGATCCACTGGCCGGTGGAGTTCCAGACCCACTTGGCTGGCGGTGGCGTTGGGACCTTATCGGGGGTTCTCATCCAATCATCTTCTCTCTCTATCAGGTATCTTGACCTACACCTCAGTATGTACACCATCGACACCTGTAGGTGGTAGACAGTAGGTGTGGGTGGTGTCTACCACCTACAGGAGTAGGAGATAGATACTAGATAGATGATGGATATCTTATCTATGATCAGATAGAGCTCCCACATACCATTAGAAAAGAGAATATAAATACAGGTCGGTTGTCTCCAGTTTAGCTCGATGTCAGAAATGGTCAGAAAATAGTATACCGTCAACCAAACTAATCAATAGTTTCGGTTTCATACTGTTTCATCTCCCAAAGTCAAACTATACTCAATGGTCCCGACACTATGGGCTGGATATGGAGAGAGTCCATGGATCGTCCAACTCTCCTGAGTTTGACTTTCACCATACCTTTATGATATTCTGATCTATATGATCATGATCATTATCTTGATCCATTATATTGATTATGATAATGATGATTCTGATTGGGAAAATGGATCATATCCGAGAGAATCGCCACGAGCGGTATCGGCAGTAAGAGACTTCCCATCTAGTCTTGACCCGGATGGGAAAAGTCGGATCCATTTGCCACGATGGAGTCGAAGTGTCTTCTACTACCTAGTGTCTCGAGTACTTCTCTAGAAATGAATAGAGTGACTGATACGAATGTCAGATGGAAGGATCCGAAAAAAGAAAGCATAGTTTCATGATCCAACTCATTCAGCTCATCCAACTCAATCCAAAAAGAACGAGAAGTGAAGAAAAAGGAATAACAAGAGAATTAAAAAAAAAAATAAAAAAATTCCAAGATAAGCAGTGGGGCTGGACCATGATTGGGCGATGCCCAGGCCGAGTTTATTTTATTCTATTTGATTTTCCAATTGCTTGTTATCTCTCTCTATCTTCCTCTATCATTATCATTATTGGATTTTATTTTTTCGATTCAGTTCATTCCTTTGCCGCGCCTCCCTCACTCTCTCACTCTCTCTCTTCACATCCTGTCTGTCTTCTCTTCTCCTCGTTCTCCTCTTACTCTCCCTCTCAAGTACTTTCTTAAGTACGCACTCCCCGTTGTCCTCTCTCTCAATTGCAATAGACACAGGGAATCAAGAGAGGCAAAAAAAAAAAAAAAAGAGAAAGACAAGAGAAAGAAGAGAGGAAAAAATAGTCAACTCCACATCTCCCCGCTGATCGATGTTCTAACACCTCTCACCTCCTCCCATTCGTCCTATCCCTCTTTCCACCTCAGGCCCACTTCAGAAAAGCCAACCGCTTGGCTCCTTTCTCGTCTTTTATATACCTCTACCTCCCCGTCTGCCTTTTCTTCTCCACATCGTTGCGGAGCTCATCTATCCTTGCATCCTTCACCTTGCCACTTCCTCGAACACTCCAATTGAAGACTGATCGAAGATTCAATCAATCAAGACTCAATCAAGACTCAATCAAGACTCATCAAACCAATCCAAGACCCATCGAACCTCGATATCAACTTCGACATCGACCTCGACTCCTGCCTCGACACCGACCCGTACTCTGGGCGGTGGTGATTCAATCACAAAACCAAACAACCGATCTCAAGAACCGTCATGGCCGACGTCAAGGCCCCCTACATCCCTCAATATGCCTCGTACAACTGGACCGGTGCTCCCTCCGACTATGCCAACCTGGCGACCAACGAACTCGGCGGTGACTCCCGTAAGTTCTGACTCGTGACTCACCATACAAGCGTCAGGGAGGCTAACTATCCCCGTAGGAGTCGAAAACCTGAACAAATGGTATCAATCTGGTGATCAGGCCTACATCATCATCTCCGCCGCCATGGTCATGTGCATGGTCCCCGGCCTCGGTTTCCTCTACTCCGGTCTCGCCCGTCGAAAGTCCGCCCTCAGCATGATCTGGGCCTGTATGGCCTCCCTCTCCGTCGTCACCTTCCAGTGGTACTTTTGGGGCTACTCCCTCGCCTTCTCCCCCTCCGCCACCAACGGCTACATCGGCGATTTGCAGCACTTTGGCCTCATGAAGACCTTGGGCGCTCCCAGTCCGGGTTCCGCCCTAGTCCCCACCTTGCTCTACGCTTTTTATCAGGTATGACTCTCTCCCTTGACTTTTCTATCCCTACCACCAACACTCACCGTGGTAGATGCAATTCTGCGCCGTCACCGCTGCCCTCGTCATGGGCTCCGTCGCCGAACGCGGCCGTCTCCTCCCCGCCATGGTCTTCATCTTCGTCTGGGCCACCATCGTCTACTGTCCCATGGCCTGTTGGGTGTGGAACGTCAACGGCTGGGCCTACAACTACGGGGTGCTGGATTACGCCGGCGGTGGCCCCGTCGAGATCTGCTCCGGTATGACCGCCCTGGCCTATTCGATGGTCTTGGGTCGTCGCCAGGAACGCATGATGCTCAACTTCCGCCCCCACAACGTCTCCCTCATCGTGCTGGGCACCGTCTTCCTCTGGTTCGGCTGGCTCGGGTTCAACGGCGGCTCCGCCTTTGGCGCCAACCTGCGCGCCGCCATGGCCTGCTGGAACACCAACCTGACCGCCGCCTTCGCCGCCATGGCCTGGGTGATTCTCGACTGGCGTCTGGCTCGCAAGTGGTCCATGGTCGGCTGGTGTTCCGGCACCATCTCGGGGTTGGTTGCTGCCACCCCGGCCTCGGGTTTCATCACCCCGTGGGCGAGTGTCATTCTCGGCGTGGTTACTGGCATTGTTTGTAACTATGCCACCAAGGGTATGTCCCTCCTCATCGTAGCAGTGATAATATGGAGACTGACAGTCATAGTGAAATTCTGGATTCGCATCGATGATTCCATGGATGTGTTCGCCGAACACGGCGTCGCCGGCATCGTCGGTCTGATCTTCAACGCCCTATTCGCGGACGACGCCATCGTCGGTCTGGACGGCGTCAACACGGGATCCGGCACCGGAGGCTGGGTGATCCACAACTACAAGCAACTGTACATCCAGATCGCCTTCATCGTGGCCTCGTGCGCCTACGCCTTTGTCGTTTCCGCCATCATCGCCTACGCCATCAACGCTATCCCGGGTTTGAAGCTGCGCGCGTCCGAGGAGGCCGAACTCCTGGGCATGGACGACGACCAGCTGGGCGAGTTCGCCTACGACTACGTCGAGGTCCGCCGTGACTATCTGGCCTGGACCCCCCAGAAGCAGGAGCAGCTCGAGGACGGCCATCACATCCCGGCCGCCGCCCGCTACGGCATCGGCGAGCACAGCTCGATGATGCTCGACGGACACCCGCCGGTCGGCTTCCACAGTCGGGCGTGCAGCTCCGGTGACTCCCAAATCCAGGAGGTGAAGATCATGCCGGCCCAGCCGGTTCAGCCGGTTCAGCCGGTTCAACCTGTCCAACCTGTTCAACCGCCTGTTCAACCTGCTGTGCCGGAGAAGGCGGAGTGATCTTTTCTCTTTTTTTTTTTTTCCCTTTTTGTTTCTCTTTCGAATATCCAGCGTGTCATTGGCTGTGCCAATATTGCATGTATGATCTATTATGGATTGGCGTTTGGCTGTACATAGGGTTGGGTTGATACCACTGTAGACATGATAATATACTATACTCAAATTTCAGTATTGAAGTAATCTGACGTTCATAAATACAGCATCCCATCGTAATAACAACCATTGCAATCACAAGGATAAAATAAATTAAAAAAAGTGAGAAAAAAAAGTGAACCCACTGAACCCCTAATACATAAAAGAAGAAGAAGAAGAAGAAGAAATTTAATCCCCCGTCCCAACCTCCAAATCCAACTGACAATTACTCGAAATCGAATAATCCTCCAACGTCAAAAAATCCTTGAACGGCCTCTCCCCCTGCCTCTTCAACAGCAGCGCGTTCGGCTCCCGCCCGATATGAGCCGCCACCATCGCCTTGAAATCCCCAATAGTATCAGACGGAAGACAAGGAATAGACGTCTTGGTGCCGAGCCGGTCGTTGACGTGCACGATGATCATCGCTTGCGGCGGCCCCGCGGCCGCTGCGGCGGCGGCGGCGGCGCGCTTTTCCTTCTTGCGCTGTTTGCGCGCTTCGCGCTCGGCGGGGGATTCGTTTTCGTGCTTGTTGGAGGTGGGTGGTTTGGCGCTGCTGGCTTCTTCGGGCTTGGATTTGTTGGATCCTGGGGGCGAGCGAGATCGAGACCGAGACCGTCGACGAGACCGTACCGGGGAGCGAGAGCGAGATCGATCGCGCCGGTGATACCCCCTGTCTAAGCCGCGACTGCGACCGGAGCCATCGTCTCTGGTGTTGGTATTGTTGGTGTTGTTTGGGCGCTTATCTTTCCAGCGGAATCCGCCGCTGCTTTGGGCTTTTGGGCGGCGGGGGGGTGAGCGCGAGCGTGAGCGGCGCTCGTGGCGGTCTGCCATTTTGATGGCTTGCTCTCTGTGGGGTTGATGGGTGGGTGGGTGGTTATGGTGGTAATGGTTAGGTTAGGTTGGCCATGGTTGTTGGAGTGTGGGTAGCTAGCTAGCTGGGTAGCTGTAGGTGGGTGAGGGACCTGGTAGGTTATGTTGGTGGTTAGCTTATCCGGGTGGTGGTGGTTAGTAATTTATTACTCATCATATACGCTCAGCTAATCAAGACAACTATAACTAGAGCAGGCAGTCTGAGTGGATCCAGTATAGACTCAAGATTGTAGTATAATGTGTAAGTCAAATCTACTGAATGATATAATATAAAGTATGCTACCTCCGCACCATCCCCCTCACCCGTACCCTCTCCTCCGCACTTAACTTATCCACCACTTCAGCCGTCTCCCCCCCTCTGAGCACATCATCCCACTCGTCTTCGTCCATCCCCACCACCAGCGCCATCTGCGTGCACCGCGCAAACGCCTCCCGGTGTCTGTACCGGCCTGGCGTGCCGTGCGTGCCGCCCACATCCACAGCTGCGCTGACAACACCCGATACGTCGCGCTCGAGTCGTGTCGCGCCTAGCGCGTTCACCCGGCCGTGGTAGGACCAGAGGCGCTTTTCGAGCAGCCGTGCGAGGTAGGCGACTGTGACCGTTAGGAGGCGGTCGAAGGCGGATGCGGTGAGGATTCGGGAGACCGGGAGGAGGAGCTCGGTCCAGCTGTTGGCGAAGCGTGGGCGCACTAGTTCCGCCCGGCTGTTGGTGTCTCCGCTGCCGCTGTGGCCGGCGTCGTGGTCGTGGTGATCGTGGTCGTGGTCGTACTCGTGGTAGGCGCTGCTTGTTGGGTCGCGGTCGTTGCCCGGTTGGTATTCGATGTCGCGGAACGCGTCGGCTAGGATTGGGCGGAGCCGGTTTTTGACCACGTTGTTGAAGACAACTTGGATGCCGTCGGAGAGGAGCTCGGTGGCTTTGGATTCGAAGGACGAGGACATGGTTTGTAGGGTCCGGAGGGCGAGGGCTGCCTCGGATGGTACCGGGAAGAGAGCGCGCAGGGGCTCTGACTCCTCTGTTTGTCCGTCTGGCCCCGTGATTCGCTTCTTGGCCTCGGTGTGGTTCTGGACGATTCGCCGGACGTAGTCGACTGCTATGTCGAGGTTGTTGATGAGGACTAGGAACGGGATGAGAAGGTGTTCTGGGGGCTGTGCGCCTTGCACTGGTGCCCGCGGGTAGCACTCGTCGCGCATCTTGCGCTGCGTCATGCCGATGAAGTCGGAGCCTAGAACCCGGGATAAGGTGGGCACCACGTTGGTGACGACCCCGATCTGCGACGTCGCGAGCGACTGCTGCAGGACTTTGTTGACAATGTACATGATGTCGTCGACGGCCGAAGTGATGTGCGGGGGATCGGCCTTCAGTGGCCGCTGGGGCTGGAGGGTCAAGCCGGATGGCTGTTCGTCCAGCTGGAAGGCTTTCTCGACGGACCGCCGGAAGAAAAAGGTTGTCATCGTGTTGAATGGAGACACCAACCGGTCGTTGACCTTCCTGGCAAGACTCGATTCTTGCAGGAATTGGGGAGCGGTGAACCTCTGGTCATCCTCTTCCGTACCCTATACCCTGTCAGATTTCCCCCAAGATAGAAGCGGAGGGGAAGACGGTTACTTACGTTGCACGTCTCTGCCAAGAACCGACAGTAAAGCGACCACCGGCCAAGCATGACCGCCATCTCGTTGAGAACCCCGTCGATCTCTTTCATATCCACCCCTTCATCCTCCGCCGCCACGCCGCCGTCCTTACTAGCAGGGGAGTTAGACCGTGGGGTGGTGCTGCGCTGGGGCAGAAAGCTCTGCACGAGGAAGGTGAACGCATAAGACTTGGTGTCGGTCAACTTGCGGTCCATGTGGCGCTCGTCGCTCCAGGTGTCAAGGATGATGCCACCTTGGACATCGGCTTCGACCTGCAGCCGCTCAATCACCCGGTTCATCTTCCTCGGCCCGTAATGGCGCTCCACGAGGCCACCATGTCCGTCTATAATCTGAGCGATGTGCTCGAACAATTTGATAAGGGCATTGGCGTAGAAGAAACCGTCCCGGCTCTGAGCGGTGGACCCCGCGTTGAGGTTGGACCGCGCGCGCGACGCAACCCCCTGGCACACGTAGCGGCCGTAAACGTCCAGGCCGACCTCGGAGCGGCCGATCAGGGGGAAGAGCTTGAAGAAGCGGGTGATCTTGGCGTCGTTGCTCTCCTTGACGGCCTTGTCAAACTCGCGCAGGAAGAGCCCACACAGCGACTCAGCCGCGTTCTCCAGCGTGACGTGCGGCGCATCCGGCACCTCAGCGGTGGGCACCATCTGCGCGGCGAAGGTCCCATGGACGACCTCCTCGGGGATCTTGGAGGCGCGGTTCAGGTAGGTAGCCGCGGTCTCCCAGTCCTGCGGGGCGCCCATGGAACCCGACACGCCTAACACGCAGGCCTTGAGATCCGACACCTGTTCGACGACCTGCAGCGTGGCCTTGACGTGCGACTGTTCCAGATCCAGACGGCGGACGGCGCTCGAGATGCGATCGGCCGTGGCGGCGGCGTCGGAGAGCATGCCATGGCTTACGGTCCGGGTGGTGGTAGTTTGAGAGCTGAGATGGGCTCGAAGAAGATCCAATCGACCGAATTCGCGCGAGAAGTCTTTCTGGGAGGTCACTAGGGCGTCCAGTCGAGCGGTTACTGAGGCCTCCTGGTCGTGTAGATGCGACAAGGTAGCTCTGATCTCCGCGACGGAGCTGGCGTTGAAGATATCGGGTTCGCCATGTCCGTTAACCGATGGAGAGACGCCAGAGACAGACATTCTCCTTGAGTAGCCAAGAGAGGCGTGCACAATATAATTGGAGAATGTGTGAGGGAGAAGAAGAGGAGATGAAGATAAAGGAGCAAGCTGGCGTTGAGATGAATAGGGAAGGCGGTGAGGCTGATAATTTATGCAGGGATATGACAGAAATATGAATGATTCAACGTTCTGAAAGAGTATGCAGCTATAAATCTATAATCGGCCTTAATTTTGTTACTTATATAGACAGATATATCGAAATGTGAGTATAAATAGTTTTACTTCTTGCAAAATCAAATCCAGGATATAGAAAATCCCGGGAAATATGATGTACTCCAGATTGAAGCCACATGTGAACAGTGAGATGACGTTATAGTATGACAGATGCCCAAGGCAGCAACCGCGCCTCGCATCTCCATCATTTTGGAATGATCGAATCAACTTCTCTCTTTTGACAACTTCCTTGCTTCATCTGTACATATATTGCTGCGGCTGCTTTTTTTGCCGTTCTTCTTGTTCAAGTCAGCTTCCTATATTACCTTGTCGTCCTTCTTATCTTTTCCCTCTTCCTTTTTTTCCTTTCTTTTTTTCTTTCTTCCGCCACCATCGGTCGCCGTCGCAGACCTCGACACCAGCAGTCCAGGTTCTCCAAACCTGGTCGGCCACGTCGCAATATGGGGAACGAATCTTCGACCATGGTCGATGCGAAGACCCCACCGACCGTGTTGGAGGCGCGGACGGTGGAGGCGCTGGCCAAGTACGTCAAAGAGAAAGGTGTGCGCCGTGTGGTAGTCATGGTCAGTTTCAAGCCCTTCTCGGTATGATCATCCACTGATGGAGCTATAATCCAGGTCGGCGCTGGTATCAGCACCTCGGCAGGCATTCCGGATTTCCGATCCCCAGACACCGGTATCTACGCCAACTTAGCCCATCTGGATCTGCCCGATCCTGAAGCCGTCTTCGATATCAGCTTCTTCCGCCAAAACCCCCGGCCCTTCTACGCCCTGGCGCGGGAGCTTGCCCCCGGCAAATACCGCCCCACCGTGGCCCATGCGTTCATCCGGCTCCTTTACGACAAGGGCATCCTGCTAAAGCACTTCTCGCAGAACATTGATTGTCTAGAGCGCTTGGCGGGGGTACCCGGGGAGGTGATCGTGGAGGCGCACGGGAGCTTCGCCACCCAGCACTGCATCGAATGCAAGGCCGAATACCCGGAGGATCGCATGCAGGAGGCTATCGCCCAGGGAAGCGTGCCCACCTGTTTGCGGTGCAACGGCCTGGTGAAACCGGACATCGTCTTCTTCGGCGAGGCCCTGCCGGGGGACTTTTTCGACAACCGCTCTCTCCCTGAAGAGGCCGATCTGTGTATTGTCATGGGCACCAGCCTTCAGGTCCAGCCTTTTGCCAGTCTGCCGTCCTTCGTGTCCGACGGGGTCCCGCGCGTGCTTATCAACATGGAAAGGGTGGGGGGATTGGGGTCGCGGCCGGATGATGTGCTGATCCTGGGAGACTGCGACGCCGGTGTACGCCGCCTGGCGAGCGCCCTCGGCTGGGAGTCTGAATTAGAGCAGGTGTGGGAATCGACCAACCCCAACCAGAAATCTCGCGACGCGGAGATGGCACCCCCCGCGACCCGCGACGAACGGCTGCGCGACGAAGTCGACCATCTAACGGAGGAGGTGGACCGGACTCTAGGGATTTCCGGTGCGTACGAGCAACGGGTGCGGCAGCATCTCGACCGTCAACAGTTGAACGAGGACCGACGGGAGAAGCGGGTAGCGGAGGACGAGGAGGATACCGGAGTGGGGGGACTGGCGCATGTGTTTCCCCACCTGGCGCGGGGACGGAATAAAAAGCTCTCAGTGATATGAACCAAACGATCCAACCATCATCGGACACGGGCTGCAGGGAGGCGTTTGGCGGTATGAAGATGTTGCTGGCATTATTGATTGATTTTGACGACACGACTTGGCTGGATATAATTATTGTGTTTCTTTTGTAATTCTTCTTCTCTTTCTTGACTCTGTTGTCTTCCTATTGTTTGTTTCTACTGTATAGATGGATTGGTCATGCGATGGATATACCTAAAAGATATGAAAGGATGGAGTTTTCAAGGCAAAGATGACTTAGGGCTGCAGTCAGGCATCCACACAGCGAGCTATATTAGTTGATTCTTGACCTCACGATCTGATTGATATCGCCATATGGATATTATAATTCTACTCCAATAGCCTGGTTTATAGAAGACAGTAATACCAATACCGCATACTCAAAATGCAGTTCGGTGAGTGAAATCATGGCGGGGCAAAGTTGGTTACCATGACGGGTTTAGCGCGGCGAGTGATATCATTCATGTTTATGTAGTATTCTTGTTCTTCTCTCTTTTTCTGGACATCTTGTTGGCTTCTCCTCCCACATCTCTTCAATCTCTCATCTAGAGTTCGCTTTCTAGTCTTCTTCTTATTTTTTCTTACTGAGAGTGCCATCCTCCCTCTCCCGTTCCCCGGTTCCTCGTCAATCCCTCGAGAACCTACCCCGATCAACCCCACCTCCGTCAACGAAACACCTTCGCATTCCACAGTATAGTGCGGTTCCTGCATCATGGTCGGAATCGGTCCCAAGGTTCCCCCTGCCCGCAAGGGTAGGTTAATCTCAGACTCAATTGTCTGCTTCTCGCTGACTTTTGGGCAGGTTCCATCCAGGATGTTCCTCAGAACCTCCTAGCCCACATTCAGGAGTTTGAGAACATCTTCACCGTCGATACAGCCAAGCTGAAGGAGGTTGTCAATCATTTCGAAAAGGAGCTGGAGAAGGGTATGTAAAAATGTCCACCGGAGATTTCCCGTCCGTTTTGGCTCATTCGGGGTGTTCAGGTCTCACCGTCGAGGGTGGTAACATTGTGAGTGGACGAACTGAAACAACATCCCCTCTTATCTAGAGAGAATCCTCGCTGACGGCTCAGCCCATGAACGTTACCTGGGTTATGGGCTTCCCCGATGGTAACGAGGAAGGCACCTTTCTCGCGCTCGACATGGGCGGCACCAACCTGCGGGTTTGTGAGATCACCTTGACCAAAGAGAAGGGCAAGTTCGACATCACCCAGTCCAAATATCGCATGCCCGATGAGTTACGGACCGGTACCGCCGAGCAACTGTGGGAGTACATTGGCGACTGTCTCCAGGAGTTCATCGAGCACCACCATGCGGACAAGGAGCTCAACAAGTTGCCGCTGGGTTTCACCTTCTCCTACCCGGCAACCCAGGAATACATCGACCACGGCATTCTCCAGCGCTGGACCAAGGGGTTTGATATCGACGGCGTGGAGGGCCAAGATGTGGTCCCTCCGCTAGAGGCAGCCTTGCAGAAGCGGGTACGACCGATCTCGTTATCGTTCTCTCCATCCTGACCCGAACTGACCATCGATAGGGCCTTCCGATTAAAGTGGCTGCCTTGATCAACGACACCACCGGAACACTCATCGCCTCGGCCTACACGGACCCCGAGATGAAGATCGGCTGCATCTTCGGCACCGGCGTCAACGCGGCCTACATGGAGGATGCCGGCTCGGTGCCCAAGCTCGCGCACATGAACCTGCCCCCCGACACGCCCGTCGCCATCAACTGCGAGTACGGGGCCTTCGACAACGAACACATCGTCCTCCCGCTCTCCAAGTACGATCACATCATTGACCGCGAATCCCCGCGTCCCGGCCAGCAGGCGTTCGAGAAGATGACCGCGGGTCTGTACTTGGGCGAGATCCTCCGATTGGCCCTGCTAGACCTCATCGACAACCAGCCGGGCCTCATCTTCAAGGGCCAGAACACCGACAAGCTGAGGCAGCCATACCTGCTCGACTCGTCATTCCCCGCCGCCATCGAGGAGGACCCCTACGAGAACCTGCAGGAGACGTCAGACCTGATGGAGAGCAAGCTGGGCATCAAGCCCACCCCGGTCGAGCTGGAGATGATCCGCCGCCTGGCCGAGCTGATCGGGACCCGCGCGGCCCGCCTGTCCTCCTGCGGTGTGGCCGCGATCTGCAAGAAGAAGAACATCAAGTCGTGCCACGTGGGGGCCGACGGCTCGGTGTTCACCAAGTACCCGCACTTCCAGGCCCGTGGCGCGCAGGCCCTGCGTGAGATCTTGGACTGGGCGCCCTCGGAGCAGGACAAGGTGGTCATCATGGCGGCCGAGGACGGCTCGGGTGTCGGGGCGGCGCTGATTGCGTCGCTGACGCTGAAGCGCATCAAGGCGGGTAATGTGGCCGGTGTCAGGAACACGGAAGAGATCAAGACGCTCATCTAATCCAATCTTCTTGGTGTGGGGCACGATTGAGTAGGCGCATATAAAAGGATATACATGTTATGAATACAATGATTTTGATACTTTCTTACTCTAGCAAACTCGCCTATGATGCATTGATTGGTGTTTACTGACATGGAATAGATGGTCAGTTAGTCTGGTTTAACTCCAAGCCTGGCAGCTGCCTAGTGGACTGCAGCATCATAGGACGATCACTTCCTCCTCTTGTTTATCCCTCATGATTGCCCCTCAGCTGGTTTAAAAACAGTCGGCTGAATTCGTCATGATGTCACCGCGCAGGGACTATCAGTTATGTAGTTACATGTTGCATTAGTCTCATTCCATACAGGGTTTCAGGGTCTTCTGACAGTCTGTCGTTATACCATGCTGGTGCATGGTCCGGTGTTCATGCAGCGGAGTTTCTATTCATTCATCCATTGTTTGTGAGCTGGCTATTGTCACGGTAGGTTGATATAAGGACAGGGGAGTATCCCTGATGAGTCGTCATCGCATCCTCAGTTGGAATAGACTGGTTCGCCAAGATAGGAAACAGATCCTTCAATCTGGGATGAGAAGTAGATGCAATTGCTGGCTGTGCTCTCTGAACGAGCATGACTCTTGAAATCAACCACTACAAACAGTCAACTTATCCAACATGTTCACACCACATTCCTGCGGGACAAGAATGCAACAAACGCCACTTTGTTTTCACAAATAGTCCTCTCCATTGAGGACCATCCAAATTCAACCATCAACTACCGCCATTACACTGCTAAGTCCATATCAACCAGGCCATCCCAGCAAAAAACAATCCCAGACATGTTTCATCTCCCAAAGACAGGGACAAGGCAGGGAGAAAAGACCAACCAACTGACATCGTCAGCCAGATTCAAAATCCCAACTCAATATTCCGAAGCAAGGGGCCTCGCATCCCTACCTTCCTACCTAACCTAGGTAGACACATGCCTAGGGTTCATTCCGTGGACTTTCTCCGATTACGCATGATGAGCTAGGAGCATATGTATGTATCTTCCACGAGGGGTACTTGATCTGACACATTTCCTCCTTTCACTTGTATTCAACTCTACCCTACTCTGCTCTGTTATTCAAACTCAAGCATAGCCGAGAGACTACCTACAAAAACAACAACAACAACAGCAAAATGAAACTATCCCTCGCCCTCATGCTCTCCTCCGCAGCCATAGCAATGGCCCTATCCCAACAAGGCGGCGACGAAGGGGACGCGAGCGGAAGTGCGCCTGCTATGCGTGAAGCGCAATTAGAAAGGAAATCAGGAGGACAGTCGAGCCCGAGCAGAGAGCAGGGAGATCTTGTATGTGCTGTCTGATTCTTGCATCACGAGAAAAAAGGAAGAAAGATGCTAATTGCGGTAGAAACCGGGGTACAACTCGGTGAGTTGATTGTTTGGATATCTTACCATCTCACTACACGTAGTTACATAGCGGTGCGGTCGTCTTCGTGAGAGATGGATGCACATGTGGTTGGTTTGGATTTGACTAACTTGTTTGTTTGTTTTCTACTATGTTTGGTAATAGCTTCTTGACGCGGTAAGTCTTTCATCTCCCCTATCCCTTCCAGATCCATCATGTCAAAAAGTAGAAGAATATGCTAATATCTCAACCAACAGCTCGGACTCGATGTAAGTCCCCGTCGCATCCATCGCAAACTTATCTGGAAGAAAGCCAGAAGCACATATCTGACTCGAGAATATCAATAGAAACTCATCCTCAACCCCGTCGCCGACGCTATAGGCAGCCTTGTTCCCACCCCCTCGTCGTCCTCGTCCCCATCTGCGTCTCCGTCTGCCTCGGCCTCGGCCAAACCGGCTCCGTCGCCGTCGGCAGCTGCGTAGCTATCCGCGGAGTCTTAGTTTCTCCATTAGGCTTGATGGTGATGGTTTGGCAGATAGATGGATGGATGGAAGGAAGGTTGGACGATAGGTCTATCTAGATATTGTGTGGAGGGGAGATATGGTTTATGTTTTCGGGTTGGATTGTTGGATTGAATGCTAATATGAGTATTGTTGTTCATTTGATTATTATCATTCTTTATCATTTTATTGTACTTGATTTGGGAGGGGACTACGCGAGGTAGTTAGTATAGGATGTATGTCGGTCTTGGAATTCAACTTCCAATGGTAGTATTATCTTACTAGGTTGACTAAGTAATTGCATTGGTATATTCTACTATATGGTGAATTAGTCCATCAGTCAAAACCCCCTGGCTGGACCTTGCTCTCTTCTTCCTTCCAGAAAATGATCTCGTCTGTGCATGTATATCATATCGTATCGTATCATGTGGAGACCTTTCTTGTGATTCTAAAACTGCAGCACCTGCAGTGTAGTAGCACTGTATGTATATATAAATGTGTGTACGTCCATAAACTCAACTATAGACTAGGTGCAAAACTATCCATTCATCCATCTATATGCATAGTAGATAATACAATCATTACTTTTGTTCTTCTCCTTCTCTTCCTCCTTCTCCTACCTTCATGACACAACTAACTACCCACCATCTACCACTACCACTTCATCCAGTCTATAGATCTACCCCCTAATCTCCCACAACCGGATCCTCCCCTGCTCATTCCCCACAGCAATTAGCTCCGAATTCGGCGACACAGCCACGGACGAGATCCGCCCAAGCGGCGTGTTGGATGTAGGCCAGTTGCGGTAGACCGTGCAGCTTGGGAGGTGGACTTGAATGTTTTGTTAGCTTCTAGCCTTCTCGGGGGGTATACTAGATATAGAAAGAGAGAGAGGGGGGTGTTAAAGAACATACCAATTCTCAAAGCGTCGCGCTTCCATCGACTTGCCATCACGAAGAATTGTCCGTCCGGCGCGAATACCACGTGGCTGATGGGCGTTGTGAGTTGGTCTAGGGCGCGGATGGGTTCTGGGTTGCGTGGGATGGTCGGTTCGGTTGTGGAGGAGGAAGAAGAGGAGGATTTGGCGAGAGATGCCGCCCACGGTCGTCGGTCGTAGACGTTTACCACGCCGCTGGAGCTGCCGATCGCGACGTAGCGGTCTCCGCCCAGCTCGGTGCGGCCGGAGCGGCCGCCCAGAGTGAGCACCGTCGTGCCGACGGCGCCGGCGTCAGTCCAGCGCGCGACGACGCGGTTGAGCGATCCGTCCCATTCGGAGACTTCGCCGTTCTTGCTGACGACTGTCATGCCTTCGCCGTCGCTCCACCAGGCGAAGTCGGCGACGCCGCCGCGGCCGTCGACGCGCACCTGCGCGATCCATTGCGCCGTGCCGGAGTTCAGCACGTTGATGAGGCCGCCGCCCTTGCGCGAGGATCCTACCAGGCCGATGTAGCGGCCGCAGGGCGAGAGCTTGAATCGCTCCATGGTCTTTTGCTCTTCTTTGCGGTCGGCGGTGCCGTTCACTTTGTCGACTTTGCCGGTGTCCAGGTCCCAGATGTGGAAGTATCGTCGGCGGCCGGAGGCGAAGATCTTGTTCCCTGTGGGGGGCGCGAACGCCGACGTGTGGATTGGCGTCTGGCGGATGTGGAAGGACGTGAGGAGCGGGTTCGGGGCTGGCGCGGACGGCGCAATGTGGTGCAGGAAGAGCGTCGCCGCTGGTCCGGAGGACAGCAGGATGGGGTAGTTGGGGTGGAACGCAAGCGAGTCGATAGAGGACTGGATGGTACACGTTAGCTTCATGTCCGATTTCAAACCGCGCACACAGCGCAAAACATACCGGTTGATCTTTCCCAACGTCCTTCAAACGCTGAATATCCAACGTCTCCTGGCGCAGCTTTCTCTTGCCCCCAGGGTGCGTCTGCTCCTCCAACTTGGTCAAATCCGTCACGCCCTGCAGCAGCTTCGCCAGCGGCTGCGTGGAGTGTGCCTCTTCATCGTCCGAATCCATCTCGCGATCCGAGTCTGAATCGCGTTGGTTCAACTCCGGGTTCGCCCACTCGGGCGTCGGGTGCAGCTGCAGGAACTGTCTGCGCAGACGTCGGACGTATTCCTTCCCGCTGATCACATCCTCCGACTCGGCGACGCGCAACTTCCGCAGGCGGTTCTGGCTCGCGAGAGACACCGTCAGACGCTCGTCGTCGCTGTCGTGCCACAGAGCAGGCTCGGTCAATGCGCCGTCTTCTCCGTCGGATAGGGTAGCAGCTGGGTTCGCGAGATCCGTAGATACGGGTGCAGCGCCGGAATCGAGGAAGAAAAGCTGTTAAAAAACCAAGTCAGCCACATAAATCCCCCAGCCGGTAAATCATATACACACATCAGCATCATCAACCCCCTCCAAATCGCCCTCCCCATCCCCATCCTCCCCACTCCCAACACTCTCATCATCACTCCCCACGGCAAGCGTCGCCAAACTGCGATTCTTCAACGCCTCATGGAACCCCTCGTCGTCGCCAAACAGCATCCGCTCCAGCTTCTCTTCGACCTCGTCCTTCTCAGGAACCTCATCCGAGTCGTCGCCATCGGCGGCGTCCATCTCGACATCGCTGTCGTCGTGGACGGGCCGGCCGGGCTCGAAGGGCGAGCGCGTGGTGGTTTTGGCCTTTTGGCGCGTTTTTTGCTTGAGAGCTGCTTTGGGCATTGTGAGGGCGACCTGTTACCGGGACGCTCTAGAGAGATAGAGAGTTTGACAGTGGCCTCGAGAATAGGTCTGGTAGATGAGAGATCATGAAATGTATGTGGGCGACAATAATTTTCTTCGCCCGCCCGGCAGAAAAGGGCGGTGAGTTCCGCGGTGGGTACTCTGTACTATCAACGGGTACTATCAATACCGTAAAAATAACGGACTCGATTCTATACAATTGCAGAAAACTATGTAACAGACTATGTATAATTGCGTCTAATGGATAGATTTGGAACACTTCACACACCGCACCTATACATCCAGTGTGAAGCGACCGTGCATGAGCAGCAAGCGAAATGAATGAATTCCAAGCCAACGCCCGTACTCGCAAAACCAGTGCGTGGACATCAGTCGATTGATGTCTGCTTTTTGAAGGGGCCTACTGCTGAGTTGCAGGTTTTGTCGATAGCGACGGTCGGCCGTGGTGATTGTGCTCGGCCCCAGAATTGGCGGAGGAAGATGACGTTGAGAAGTAGTCGCCCTCGTGCTCATACCGTGGCAACTGCTCTTTGGCCTGTGCGGAGTTTTCCATATCCCGCCTGGTATCTTTGCCCGACTCGTCGTCCGATTCGAGCGAGCTATCCTCCAGGCCCGCCAAGAGACCGTCCTGCGGACCCCGCTCGTCACCGGACGCCTCGTGGTCCCGACTCTCTTCCTCTTCCAACTGGTGAGCGGGCTTCTTGATGAAGGTGTCGATGATGTAGTACTGGACGGCGTTCATGATGAGCGGGAACAGGAGCATCACGAAGAAGATCTGGACGCCCGGGTTGCCCTCGGTCCAGCGCAGCGCCCAATCGCCCACCTTGACGATGAACGGGATCAGCTGGATGAGGAAGAAGACACAGATCTTCATGCCCAGCAAACCGACAAAGTAGATCATCGACTGCTTGAACCACCAGGTCGCGCGGGGCGGGCGACCATAGTTTCCAGACTGAATGGATTCGGGGGGGTTGGCGAGAGGGGTGTACGAGGCGAGCCGATTGAGGATGTACAGGATGAAGATGAGAATGGGAATCCCAAGGGTCGTCTAGTATTTCATCGTTAGCGGGTGATCCACGGGAGCATGGGCCACGGGGCGGCCACGGAAGCCACAAACTTACATCGATGCCCAGGTTCAAGATGTAGAAGGAACACGGGTTGGGTCTGTAGTCGCTGGTAATCTCCAACTGACCGGCCGAGAACATGGACATGAGCAGATTGGCCAGGTGCAACATGGCCGAGCCGAAGACTTGCTTCGAGACATCGAAGGCCCACACTTTCAAGGGCCGTTGTGGGCGTTCCCTCCACCGCTTGTAAACGAGTGATAGAAGCGCCAGCGCCCCCAGCGCGGCCTGCACGAAAAGGGAAAACGGCCCCAGGAGCCTGCATTCGCCCGAGTCCTCTCCATCGCCCTTGGGGTCGGGTCCTGCCAACGGATAGTGGATTTTTTGAGGTGACGATGACGTCGTGGTGGTTTTAGTGGGAGGAGCGTCATCGGCCAATGCGGCAACATTGTGGATAAGGAGGGCGAGGGCGATGGCTGACACGGCCCTCGCCGAGAATGAGGGAGACAGCGACATTGTCCTGACTAATTTCGTCGATGTAGACACGGGGAGGGGGTTCTGGTTTCCCTTCGCGGGGGAAGCCAGATAGCGTAGGTCACTTGACGGCCACGGTTCACCCGCGATGTTCCCAACGAGGAAGAAGGAAGGAAGGAGTTAAAAAAAGAAAAAAACAAGACGACAAGGGAGTGGGACGAGTCAATAAGAGCCTCCCTATATGAGCAGGGTGGTTCGTGAGGCAGACATGCGGGCCACGGTCCAAAAAGCGATAGAAAGATCGGAGTAGTAATAGTCGGAGTGGATCAGGTCCCACCAAAGCCAGAGAAGGAAGAGAAGGAGGGGAAAATATATATACAGTTGGGCGTACTCCTCTGCCAGCAAGGAGGCTGAGCCAAGTGTAAATTTATTGAGAATGTGGTGGAGATCTGAGAAGATGAAGATGACAGATGGGAGAGAGAGAGAGAGAGGAGAAAGAGGAAAGAGGAGTAACGCGACGTAAGAACGGGGGGCGACTTAGTGCTCCGTTGGGGCTCCGTCAGTGTTAGTAGTGAAGAATGTGACCAACAGGCACTAAGGCATCCTCCACCATCCTTATGCCTGCTTCGCCCCACGCCAAGTCGGATTATCTTCTATTTGACTAACACCATTTTCTTATGGTTTGAACATGGAAATCCGAAATAATTATATTTATAGAATAGTATTCTATAGGAAAAAGGAAAGAAACAGAAAGGGAGAAGATCAAGGTATTTGGCTGACATACGGTCTAATCCTATCTCATATATGGACATCAACGTAACTCCATCAGTTCTCCAAGTCCCCAACACCGTCCAAAAGTATTTTCGGAATCCAACTTCTGTTGTCGTGGAGAAAAACCGACCAAAAAAAAAGTATGTAAATTTTTTATTTTTTATTTTATTTTCTTCATTATCCGTCTATATCACCCCCCAATCCATACCTCAAACCCATGCTTAGATCATCATGCGCTCAACCTTATCCTTCAGGGTACGGATCTGTCCCATCAGGTCAGAAGCCTCGTTGGTGGTGATGCTAGCAGCGATCACAGGACGAGAGACACCAGTGGCGCGACCCAGGGCGAGCTTGCTGGGGACGAAGATGTAGCTGGTGTTCTTGTCCTCACACAGGAGAGGGATGTGGAGCAGAATGGCCAGAGGGGTGGTGTCGGCCGCGAGGATGACCAGCTCGGCAGTACCGCGATTGAGGGTCTTGGTGGCTGTTCAAAAGTCAGTACAGGTACTACAAGATACGATATGCAGAATGCGGCTTCATCCGGATGGGATCATCTTACCCTCGTTCGCACCCTTCTTCAGCTGGCGGTAGTGCGAAGCCTGCTGCACCAGGTCCAGGAGCTGCTGGGTGAGAGCCTCATCGGCCAGGGGCCAGGCTATCAAACATATATAAATTAGTTGACTGATCGCAGGTATCACTTCAAAAGTGGAAGTAATAAGGTGAACTTACCGGCATTAGGTTCGGCAGACATGATTCTTTAAAAATAAAAAAAAGAAGAAGTCAAATGAGAGAGATGGCTCACAGCTATGGATCACTGCCGACGGTGCAGGAAAAAGGATGGAGGGAAAGAGAGAGGAAGCGAGGCGTTGGTGAGAGAGAAAGTCGAGATGAAGGAAAATCTTGAAAAGTGAAAGTTCGCCCGGTGGAGACTTGTGCTTGGCCGGATCGGGTAAGGCGTCTCCCGGGCGGTGGGCGAGCTGCATAGTATGTGCCTGACCACCAAGGCAGAGACATGTGCTCATCATTATCGCTCCATCCGATCGTTATCATGATCACCCCTCTTTCCCTCCACTGCGAATGCGACAGGGTTGGATGTCCCCAAGAGCTCTCGTTATGCCCCTCCATACCGTTTTCTTTTTTTGTGACTAGCTACTGCAAGTAAGAACTGTTGATTAGATTGTAGTCAATACTGGGCGACAGGCGACACCATAAATTCCATGTCCTATCTGATCGAGATTGATACTGTACATGATACTATACATACTGTAGAAGATACCCTGTACTAGTACACGCGACTTCAGATACGCTACAGGGTTCGTAGTGCATGATGCATATCAACCAGATTAGGCATACGTACAGGAGGCTTGTCCCCAACTATGGAGAGGAAGTGCCTGGTGCCTGTCGGAGCCGGCCGTTGGGCGATCAGTGCATACTCCACCAGACCCCTACATTAGGTAGAAACACCCATGTAGACCAGTCTACCAATTAGTCGGACAGTCAGTCTTGCACTCGCCAATTCACACCCCGCTCCAGAAGCAATCAGACAGATTGAGGTCAGATCGCCGACCGTGGTCGACCATTGGAAGGATTATATTGATAGTAGAGATTCAACTGGTATAATTGGACCTGATCCCAGGATGAAACAAAACCCATTCTGTATCCGTTCCCCAAGGGATCGGTGACCCGCGCGAGCGATCCGTCCACCGGCCGGCCACCATCCAGACGGAGAAGAGCCATGAAACCCATCGGAGTGAAAACGCCAGAAACCCCACAACCAGCCCATGATAACGTGCGGCGATGTGCCTGCAAAGGGTACGCAAAGAAACTGACAAAAGAAAATCCGTAACGTCATTCTATACCGTGTTGTTGTTTGAGACGTTCCAGATTTTCCTGCCTTTCCGCCAGATCCTCTTTCGATTTAAGCATTTTCTCTGGCTGGTGATATAGTACTGTCCCCCCAATCCAGTTAGCCTTCCTGTCCACGTCCGATATACCATCCACATCAATGAGCACCTACCGACGAGATATCTGTTCTGAAAGTTGAACCCATTGAGCTTATCGCATGCCTGTTTGGCGTCGTGTACGTCCTCGTAAACCACAAATGCGGTGCCCTTGGAGTTGTTTGCGATTCCCTGTCGTATTTGTCTGGAGGTTGTCAGACCCTCTTCCATCATCTCTTCTCTTCTCTTGCTTCCTTTCTCTTTCTCTTTCTTGCTTCTTTTCTTTCCTTGTTCCGTGGCGTGGTGGCGCTTACCTGATGGGACCAAACTTGCCGAAAAGATCAAAGAGCTGTTCTGCGGTCACGTTGTAGCTGTGCAGTCCATGTGGTCAGTAACGGACACCAGCATGTTGACTCGACTCGTGGGGTCCTCGGGTTCAGCGTACTTGAGGTTCTTGACAAAGAGAATCCTAGCATCCCGTTAGTCCCGATCCCGATGACATTTTTCTTTAACAAAAAAAAAAAAAAGCAAGAGAAAAAAAAAAGCCCCCGAGATGCAATCCAGTCCAACGGCAAATGCGCAACAATCCAGGCGCATCCAAATCGACCAGAACTGGCGGCGTCGTTGGAGGGGCAAACTCAATCCAGGCGAGAGGCACCACAGACTTACCGATTGGCTTCGGGGGCGAGCTTCCGGCTCATTCTCGGGTGGGAAAAAAGACAGCCTAGACAGGAGGGCTCAAATGGAGAGATGAAGTCGAGACGAGACGAGACAGGATTGGGAAAGAAGAAGAGGCAAGAAGGGAGGGAAAGCGAAGAAGAGACAGGGAGAGCAGAGGCAAGTTCTCCGTTGCAGATGAAGCAACGAGGTTCGGAAACGGGAGTCGCCTTCCTAAACGGGTTTAGCGGGAAGGGGAGCCTCACTTCCGTGATCGATGGCCAACTGGTGAGTATTCGAGGATGGAATGATTGGGACGGTGAATGACGGATTTACAGGACTCGGAGGTAGGTACCTTCAAATCGACCGTGATGAGATGAGGAGGATAGATTCAGTCAATGTTGGATCGGAATCAAATCAAGTGGGATCTCTCTATGCCCACTGCAAACGATATCCCAGGTGACTGCCTCAGGCACGCGCATTCTGCCTGCCTCAGCCCGCCTTCTCCTCCCCTCCTCTTCTGCTTCTCTTCCATCTCCTCCTCTCCCTCTCTCCCATCTCCATTCTCTTCTCGCTTCCCCTCCTCTCCCCTCCTCTTCAACCTCTCTCTCGTCCCTCTCATCTATCAATCGCCTCTCTTAGCCTCGCTCTCTTCAATCGTTTGATCTCTTCTCTTCATCCCTTGGTCTTTCCATCCGGTCTTCGCAGTACCACACCTTCTGCGATTGCCCGCGTCCGCCTCCCTCGGTGCTGTGCCCACCCGCCGCTACCACCACCACCACCACGACGTCCACCACGTCCACCATCACGACCGATCAAACTACACCACTGTCCTTCTCCTGTCAACCGACCGTCCAACCCATCATCGGTTTGGCCTCAATACTCCTCTCTCGTCTCGGGGAAAAAATCTCCACCCCCCTTTCGAGTCTTCGGCGGGATTGCCGACCTGCGATCTCCGACGGCGCCAAACCTCTTGCCTCCTTGCTGCTCTCGACTTCGATTCCATCTCTTTGTCCCCATACGGCGCCCTCCATCCCGCCAGGAATGACTGTCCTTTTGCCTGCGGTGGCCTCTCTTTAGCCCGCGTGGTCGAAGATTTCACCCCCCCCCCCCCCCCCC